TGGCCCAAAACATTGCCAGAACAGTCATAACAGCCCCCCCCCTCTCTCCAAACCCTGTGCGCTCCTGGCTGGATAAAGATATCCCAGTGAATGCAGAGAGGGCCAACAGCGCGAGAGGGAACGTGTGTGTGTGTGTGTGTGTGTGTGTGTGTGTGTGTGTGTGTGAGAGAGAGAGAGAGAGAGAGAGAGAGAGGTGAAAGTGAAGAATGCTTACAATAGTAACACACTCCACAGGTGTTTTCTCTTCGAGTACTCGCTCCTTCATCCTGCCAGCGTCTTTCCTTCCTGTTCACCCCCTTCTCCCACATTCCATCATTCCTTCTTCACCTTTCCCTCTCTGCTAAAGACTAAGTGTGTTCTTTTCCACTCAATTGAATTCTCATTAGCCCAAAGAGCTTAAATTAGTGTGATGAACGCACCATGACGTTTTGTTCTTTTGATGACCCCCCCCCCACCTCCCCCCGGCCCGCCCTCTCTCAAAGTCTGCGTTTCTCACTGTCTTTTCTCTTTAACCCTGTAACAACATCAAACTCCAGCTGTACCTCTATTCCTTCCTTAGCATTGAATTGTGCCAGAGAACCTGCCTGGACACACATTTAGTGTTGACCCTCATCACTGATATTGTCCCTCTTATATGTTTTTGTCAGTTGCAGAACTGAGTTCATGTAGATGTATTCATATATGCATACTATATATTATAACCTTGTGTCTCATTATTATTATTATTATTATTATTATAACCTGTTGCATCTTTTGTAAACAAGATTTGGCAGTGCCAGCTGTGTTTTACATTGTGTCATATTTGCATGATGAATGACCCAATAGAAATAGTCCAAAATCTCATTACATTGACTTACATTAATAGTTATGACACATTTCATATTTTATATTACATTTATTCCAATATGTTAAACTCAGCAAATAAACAAAAAATTGTGCACTAAAATTTGCAGAAAATGTATTTGAGTGTGTTCTCTGTAGAAGATGTGTTAACATATTTTTACTTAGAAAACTAACACAAGTCACTTGGCTGGGGTCGTCCAATTTTTACATACGGCTGTATGTTTATGTATATCTATATATGGTTCTGTGAAAAGTCTTAGGGGCCTGGAAAATTATATTTAAAAACCTACATAGCTGGGCAGTTGAGTGTATTTGCTCAGAAAACACACTAATATTAGAATAAATATATATAACCTTAATATGATGAGTAGTGATCAGTGTTTTTGCATAACAAATTCCAAAACTCTCCTTGAAGAAGCCCAGTATTTGTGTAGTTTTCACTAATACTTTTCACTTTTCACTAATACTTTTCACAGACTTTTTAATAGTTGCTTAGGTGCCTAAAACAAACTTATTTCTTAAAAACTAACTGGTAAGATTTAGATTTAGATAGTCAAAGAATTTGATGCATATATATATATATATATATATATATATATATATATATATATATATATATATATATACACAAAAATGGAGATATAAAGGTTTGTTCTGACAGCAATATACTATATTTTATATATATTAATATAAATAAATGAATATTTTGTCCATATGTGACAGATAAACTGATGGGTGTCTGAGTGTCTTCCTAAAGTCTAGCCTAATAAATCTTTACGTCTTTTACAGCACATGGCGTGCTAACGTCTAAATTTGGCTGCGACTCTGCAGGAGGCCACTTGGGTAGCCTGCAGTAAAATATCTGGAGACATTAAACTGCCAGAAAATCTCAGAGCTCTTGTGAGAAAATATGATACTTTGTTGTCAAGTCAAAGGCATTTCGTGAGGTTAAGATTTAAATGAAGCATTTCTTTTCCATTGTTTTCCTCCATTGTTCAGCTCTGCATAGCTGTCACCCACAGTCATTTTCTCCGATGTGCAGTAAAACAATTAAATGCAGTTTTAATAATGTTATGCTGTAGAACTACAACCAGAGCAGTTAGTCTGATCTACATTCTAAATTTTTCATAGCGTAGCACTGATGTGAGCTCATGTTCGACCTTCAGTCTTTAAAGCCCAGTTAAATTGCTATTAAAATTTAACAGCAATTTAATGGAACTTATGGAATTTGCTGTGCACGGCTGGTCTGAGCGTGTTTGTGGGAAGAATGTGTGTGATTTATAGATTCATAATGACAAGAAAGATTTTGAAATGTTTGGATGTGTTTTATTGTTTTCAGTCAACGTGTAATCTTACAGAGGCCTGCGTTAGCTGAATGACAGGATTTCAGCGCCATCTACTGGTAATAAAGTAAACTGGTGAAAAACTGGCCTACTTTCAACCATGCTTGAGCTAAAACAACTTCATTCTTTGGGAAAAAAATGAAAATTGGCTGTATTTATTGCTCAGAATTCCATTGTGTTGACTCTGTGAATAGTAAAACAATGGTGATAAACAATAAAAAACTCATAGGGTGGTTTTCTGTACAGGATTTGAAATAAGTCAATATATACTTAATCTTGGCCTACATAAAGCACCGTAACAGAATCTGCCTCAAGAGCTCTCTGACTCACTCTGAATTTTATGATACTGAGCCTGAGAAACTTGGTGTATTACAGTGAATCTGTTGTAATTTGCTACTCTCTGTTGTGTTACTACATTAAACTGTCCTGCCAGAGAATTTCAAGGAATTTCATGACTTGAGCAACAACATCTGAACTGGAGGTGGTGTTTATATACACAACAACATTATCTCAGTTAGCTTTCTGTGAGACTTCATAAAACCAAAAAAGCACCACACCCTCTGGTGAAGTGTAGACACAGTCTATTTGATATGTGAGTACAGTAAACAAAAGAAGAACCTGCTTTATTGCATTCATTGACTACGTTAGTCATGACACATCTCCTGGTTGGTCTTGTGGGTTGTAGCTGATATATAATACATTTCTACGAATGGCAGAGGTGGTTAGAGTGGTTTAAAAACAACCATAATCAAGTAGAAATATTGCTAATTCAGGGAAACAAAGGATCAAGTAAAAGTAAAAGTAAATGTAGGTTTAAAAAAAAAACCTTGAGTTTAGAGATGCAAAATTATTGGTTTTTAAAAACAAATATGTACCGAGATGCTTTACTACATCCAGCATCAGCACAGAAATCAAAGTTTGTTAGATGCTATTCTTTTCTTTTTGGGATTGTTTGATAGTTATATTCCTCATGATAATTTAGATTTTGTGCTTCCTTTGATCATGATTAGTCCACTGTTTTACACTACACTATATGGCCAAAAGTATGTGGTCACCCCTCCTGACTATTGAGTACAGGTGTTTGTCACCCCCATTGCTAATAGGTGTATAAAATCAAGCACACAGCCATGCAATCTCCATAGACCAACACTGGCAGTAGAATAGGTCGTACTGAAGAGCCTTTAAATATGGCTCTGTCAAAGGATGCCATTGCCACCTTTGCCACAAGTCAGTTTGTGAAATTTCTGCTCTGCTAGATCTGCCCTGGACAACTGTAAGTGCTATTATTGAGAAAATGGAAGCATTTAGGAGCAACAACAGCTCAGCCATGAAGCAGCAGACCACACAGACTCACATAGTGGGGCCGCGACTGTTGGAACAGGCAGTGAATAAAAATTGCCTAAACTCTGTTGCACTTTAGTTTCAAACTGCAACGGGAAGCACGATTAGCACAAGACCTGTGCATCAGGAGTTTAATGAAACAGGTTTCTATGGCCGAGCAGCTGCACACAAGTCTAATATCACTATGCGCAATGCAAAGCGTCGTCTGGAGTGGTGTAAAACACGCCTTCGCTGTACTGTGGAGCAGTGGAGACGTGTTGTCTGGAGTGACGGATCACGCTTCACTGGCAGTCTGATGGACGAGTCTGACTTCTGTGGATGTCAGGAGAACTGTGGAATGCACAGTGCCAACACTAAAGTTTGGTAGAGGAGGGATAATGGTCTGGGGCTGTTTTTCAGGGTTTGGGCCTCTTAGTTCCAGTGAAGGGTAATGTTACTGCGAAGAGTTTAGTGTGGAGGAACTGGACTGGCACAGAGACCTGGCCTTAACCCAAGTGATGACCTTTGGGATGAACTGGAATGTTGATGTGCAGGTCAGGACATCTTGTCCAACATCAGTGCCTGACCTCACAAATGCTGTTTTGACAGAATGGGCACAAATTCCAAAATTTTGTGGAACGCCTTTCCAGAATAGTGGAGGCTGTTAATAATTAATAATACTAATAATAATAATTCAATTTTAATTTCTAATGCGCCTTTCACATACCCCAGGTCACTTTACAGTAAGGACTTCACATTAATGCATTAAAAAAGTTAAGGGAGAGAAGAAGAACGAATGAAAGTATTGAGAAAACAGGAAAGTTCTGGACTTTGAGGGACGACAGGGTGGAGCAGTTGCAGAGGGATAAAGGAAGAGAGTTCCATAGGTTAAGAGCCATAACACTAAAAGATCTGCCCCCAAAAGAGAAGCCTTTAAAAGCAGGGACCACCAAGAGGACCACATTGGAGGACCTCAGAGTAAAAGGCAGGAGTATAGGGGAGAAAGAGGTCAGCTATATAAGGGGGTGTTAGACCATTCAGGGCCTTGAACGTCAAGTGAAATTGAACTGGATACATAAAGAAATAGGTAATCAGTGACAGAGAACCAGGCTGATGTGAGAATTGTTTCTGAAGAGTTATGAACGTATTAAAGTGTTGCAAGAGTTTTGCCATATTATGTTATAGCCATGAAGGGGCAAATCCATATTAAGACCTATGGTTTTGGAGTGGGATATTCAACAAGCTCTGTGTGATAATAAGGTGTCCACATACTTTTGGCCATACCGTGTACGTATAACTGCAGTGTTCATTAGTGCCGATTTAAAGCACTAGTTATTCAATAAAACCACCAGAAAACCACCCCATGGATACATCACTAATCCAGTATTCAGCCACACACTGTGACTGAACATATGTCTAGCATTACACTCACAAACTAGTAAACCCCTGACCGGTTTGTAGACTCAGTATCAGATGAATACACAACAGTACCAATGATATCCCTGCATGTTTATAATAAATAAAATAATCACATTTCCTAACATTTCTTCAATTATTTTGGCTCGGATGATCAGCAGGTATCAATCAAACTAAACGATGATCAGTAAGTTAATAACAAAACCGAACAAAACTAGCATAGTATGTAACAGCTTGTTTAAACTACAGTAACATTTGAATATAGAGCACAGATAAATATGTCCATGGATCTGTTCTTTATCCTCGCAAAGGTGCAAGAATGCTGGAGGAGGTCGGTTGTCGTATTCCATGCCTGAGAAAGTCTGTACTGAGTGTTGTGTTCACCTTCTGTGATTGATATTCTTCCAACTGGGTTTGTAACTTGTCTATTAGTCTTAAAATGGCTGTGATATTTATCAACTGCTACATTGGGGCAGAATTATTGGCCCTTTGTAAAGATGAGCAAAAAAGTTTTTTTTGTTCTGTTTTTTTTTTTTTTAAATATTTGCATTTATACCCAGTTTTTACTCAATGTACTCACGGCGAGTTCCCACCTGATAGATAGGTCTCCCCGACAACGTAAGTCAGCCACAGCATCTTTCTGAACTGCTGCTAATGCAACGTCACTGGACAACTCAATGCGCTTGGACTCCTGGCCACAGATGGCTATAATTTTGCCTTTCTAAAACATCTGATTTTTCCCATATTTTCAGCTGATTTTTTCACAGCCGTTTTTGCTCATCTTTACCAACAGCACCACTGTATCTGAGCTTGATACCTGCACATGTAAGCTGTTTTAAAACCAATTTCTCAATACAAATGTATACTTCAGTGCTAATTTGTAGTCACTGTTTACAGTTTTCAAAGTGTAATCCTGGTGTATATATATCATATGAAATCAATTTAAATAAAAAATATGATCTCATACCTTTACAGTTGTAAGGCTGTGAGTACACACTCATTTACACACACACACAAAACAAATGCAATTAAAAAAAATCTATTGATTGAAGACTTCTACCTATAAAGCAAAACAAACAAACAAACAAATGATTGCTTTGGTAATATTAAATTGACTATGCTAATGCTATTACTGTGTTTAGGTTATACAACACATAATAAATCAACAATAATTAGGGATGCACAATGGAATCATATTTTCTATCAGTATCTACAGATAAATGTGTAGAAACAAATGCAGACCTTACAGACATTTGAATTGGGCTGATATTTCACATTAATATTTGATGACTTGTTTATTTTACTCTGGAAGAGCAGAACGTTTAGATGATGCTGTGCTACTCCGCCAAAAAAGTCTTTATTTTACAGATTTCCCTGCATTTGTAACCCTGCAGAAATAAAGGTTATATTTCTCTGTAACGCTAATCCAGGTAGATGTCGTCCCAATTTCTACATTTAATAAATGTTTATGTATCGGTATTGATGGGTACAATCGTATGCAAAAGTCTGGACATGTTTTGTTGATTTTCTAAGTGAAAATAAGTTACACATCCTCTACAGGGAACATATTTTGCACATTTTTTGGCACAATTACTGTTCATTTGGTATATTTAACCTAAAATGAAACAAAAATGTGGCTCCTGAAAAAGTTATGGCACATTTTATAGTTTGTGTTAAATTTTTTTCCAATATGTTAAAATAAATTACAACCCCGTTTCCAAAAAAGTTGGGATGCTGTGCAAAAATACAATGATGAGCAAGTACAAAATAGTGCAAAGACAACATATCAAACAATAAAACTGAGAAATTTTGAATCTGATGCCAGGAACTCAATTCAAAAAAGTTAGGAAAGGCACATGTTTACCACTATGTTGCATCACCTCTTCTTTTAACAACACTCTGTAAGTGTTTGGGAACTAAATGCACCATATGTTTTTTAATTGGTGACAGGTCTGGGCTGCAGGCAGGCCAGTTTAGCACCCAGACTATTTTACTACAAAGTCATGCGTGCAGAATGTGGTTTGGCATTGTCTTGCTAAAATAAGCAAAATAAGCATCTGGATGGCAGCATATGTTGTTTCAAAACCTGATATCATTCCGCATTAATGGTGCCTTCACAGATGTGCAAGTCACTCGTGCCATGTGCACTAATACAGCTCAATACCATCACGGATACTGGCTTTTGAACTGTCCACCGATTACAAGCCGGATGGTCCCTCTCCTTTTTAGCCTGGAGAACGTGGCGTCCATGACTTCCAAAAAGATTTACACATTTTGATTCTTGGGACCACTGAACACTTTTTCTTGCCGCCTCAGTCCATCTTAAATGAGCTCAGGCCCAGAGAAGGCGGCAGTGTTTCTGGATCCTGCTTATATATGGCTTCTTCATTGCATTTTAGAGTTTTAACTCTGTATTTGTGGATGCAGCAACAAACAATGGTCTTTGGAAGTGTTCCTGAGCCCATGCAGTGATTTCCACTACAGAATCATGTCTGTTTTTAATGCAGTGCTGCCAGATCATGGCCAGCAAACACTGTGTTTTGGCCTTGTGCCTTGCATGCAGAGATATGCAGAAAAATGCCATGTTTAAGTTTGTTTACTGTAAAAGATGTGTTTACTTGTTTCCAGTGGTATAAAACTTTTGCCAACAACTTCATGTACACAAAAAGTACCGGATATCGGCATCAGCCTGCAATTTCCATATTGGTGTATCCCTAATGAGAATCAGTTGTTCTAATGCCAGTGGTCCTCAGGGCCCCAAACGGTCCATATTTTTGCTCTATCACTTTGCTCTGCAATTTAGGTTGGAGCAAAATCTGGACTGTCTTGTTTGTTATAAGCATTATGGTTAATGACAGTTAATTCAACAGTCTAGTGAAATAAACTGAATGTACCTACACACAACACTAAACAATACTGCAAATGGATACTGCATACCTGGGCTTGAGGTGAAGTGTGTGTTCAGATCTTTTCAGAAGTGAGGGGTCCGCCTTTCTGAACCTCCAGCATGATTGACTGCACCACCTCAGAAGTTGTGCCCTGACCCCCGAGGTCAGCTGTGTGCAACTGCCAAGACAGGAAGAATGGCTGAGATTTTAAAGCGGCAAGAACACTTGTGTGTAAAGTTATAAACCTGAAAAATTACAGCAATTATCTCCAGCAGTAAATAAAGCATAGTGTAAATTAACATGAATCATTTTTCACTTGAAGCTCATTGAAATAAGCACAGATGTTTTGTCAGTATTGTGAATTCAAAACTTTCAATCCACAGTAGAAGATCAAATGTTATATGATGAAAGTTATCGCTGCACGTAGGGTCTGTTTTGCAGAAAACAGTTCTTTACATTTTGGCCATTTTTGTCATTTGTGATGTTAAAGAGCCCCATCCTATGTTTTCTTTTATTCTATTTATATTTGTGTGGTTTTATGTACCAAATATTCATAATTCATTTTAAATGAGTAATTTCTACTAACATCACAAAAACAATTAATTTAAAGGTTGTTTTGGTTTTCACATACGGTCTGTATGGACTGGGGAGTGAATTTTGTGGTTTGAAACTGTGTTTTGTGATCAGAATCGGCCAAAATCGGAATTGGCATATTTTTGCTCAAAACACAAAATTAGCAATTAGCCAATTTATTATTTTAATTTTGGCTCATGCTGTTTCTGAATGTTGTTGTGACATGTATTTCAAAATGTAGTAGTGTAATTATGCATTACTCTTGGTGCCAAACAGCCAGTTGCCTCTTACTTTTGTTGTAGTACTTAATTTGATTCATATTATTTAAATAGGCAACAGATGTTTTATTTATAAACTAAACATGTTGTTTATATTGCAAGTTTGGCTAATAAAAGTACTGGAAATGTGCTGGTGCATTTCATCTGTTTATTTACCCACACAGTAAAGTATGGAACCATGCTTTTAATCCCTTAAATGGCCAGGTTCTGGCTTTGGGTCCAAACCTTTATTACACTGTTATGACCTAGGAATAACGCCAGTTTTAGTCTATGTAGTGATTGAATAATAGGCCTTATAAAATAAGTCTACATTTTTATGGGGTCAAAGTTGTCAAACACAGTTTCAGCCCCTCAGGAGTGTTAGTGAACATGAAAAGCGTCCCTGAAAATGACGTTCTTGTTTAAAATGCGTCAGAAAACATTCACGGACTTCAAACCTACAAAGGACGAAATCTGTATTTGTGTTGCTATAAAGAACACACTCCTGCTGGAATCCTGGACTGACATAATCCACCAAATATGCACAAAGAAATGAGGGCAAAAATAATCGGCTTAACTGCACTTCACACATCTTACACTGAAATAATAAGACCAGGGAAGCCTGAGATCGAGTTGTTGACCTATTCAGAGCATAAGAACATAATTACTTTCCAAACATCCTGATTAAGAGATTTTATGTTTGATCTTATAAAATTACTGCAGCTAGAAGTGTTTGTTATGATTCCCTGACAGAACCTTTATGTAAGTGTTCTCATTTACACCAAAAAGGCCCCACCCCATGGGGACAAACTCAGAATGGTTCCGCTAATCTCTTTCTAAAGTGCGTTCCATCATTTACAAGAATTTAACGAGAGCATTGATGCATGATGGTAATCGATAAGACAAAATCTTCTAAGGCTGTGAGAATGGGCTCAGTGCACTTAAATGAGATTAAGCAGAATAATGAGATTTGATCATACCCGAGTCTCTGAAAGCGTTTTGAGGATGGCTTTTCGAATCATGCTGGCGTAGTCATGAAGCCTAGGAAAGAAAAGGCAGGACAGATATAACTGCTCACCATGGATTACACAAAAGAACAAGGATTAATCCAGCAACTTGGAGAAAATATCTCCTGTATTCTGACCTAATGAGACCTCAAAGTCTCTCAACTGGCACAGCTGGAGGGGTAAAAGAATGAATGACATGGGTAGAATGTCTTAAATGAGGAAGCTGGTGAACATGAACATTTTTACATACCCTAAATGATCCAGCATCAGGCAGCTTGCCAGCAGGGTAGCAGTGGGGTTTGCAATGTTCTTGTTAGCAATGCTTTTCCCAGTGTTCCTCGTGGCCTGACAACACAAAGCACAAACACTAGGATGACTAAGTCCTTCGCTATGGGCATTTCTGCATTTCTCTTACGCTATACATGCACATCAATGTCATTTAAAGGGGAACTCCACCAATCTTGCAAAATTACTTAATCATTCAATGGTTTAGATGTAAACAAAATCATTCAGAATGGTTTGGTGTGAAACGCGCCTTTCTAGAGAAACTTACCAAGTCAGAATTGTTCACCATTATAGTACTAGGAACCAGATGTCCGAAGCATTTAACGGCTCTAAAAGCTACATCCTGTTAAGTTATTACACAAAATGGTCATAAATGCATTGCTTGATACCTGATACATCGTTTTGTGACAGTTTTGCTATAAAGTTTTGGTCTAAAACATATTTTTAATATAAACCATTACTCCAGGATTACTTCCTTGTTTCCTGTCAAAACCGCATTCTGAACTGAGATCAATGCGCGCAAGCTAACGTGCTTTTGTAGTTACTAGCCTGTAGCTACAGCCGTTCAACATGGCTAACATCGGTGTTGTATCCAATTCAGTTCCCCTTCAAATTCACGTTCCCTTTGACAAATCAGGTCCTCGGGCGTCGCATTCACTGGACAACAATGCCAAGCAACACTGGAACTACGGAAAGTGAAAAAAGGATTTATAAGTATGATTGTTTACTGTTTACTCATATTTAAAATTAATATTTATCATGGAATCACAATCGTGCCATGCTATCTTGGATGAATTTATATTGGGGATTGGGTGTAAACACGCGGCCGCTCAATCTTTTTTTTTAACCTTTTCGCTTTCTGTAGTTCCAGCATTGCTTGGCATTGTTTTCTGCTCAGTGAATGCGCCTCCTGAAGACCTGATTCATCAAAGCGAATGTGAATTCGAGGGGGGAACTGAATCGGATACGACACCGGCAGCAGCTTTTGTTTACAGTTTGTTTTTTACAGCTTTCTTACCTATTTTTGGAAGATGGCAAAGTGTGTGGAGGACTTCTGTTTTGGTCTGTTTCCAAAACGTCATAGGGCCAAATCGATTTGAACCAAAACAATACACAAAAGACTTGCAGCGGCTTGAAGAAGAGAGAGCAAACAAGGGGGAGAGAGAGAGAGAAAGAGAGAGAGAGAGAGAGAGAGAGAGAGAGAGAGAGAGAGAGCGAGAGAGAGAGAGACTGAACCTGCCGGCGCCGAAGCAAAAGAACCAAGGGCGAATGGAAATTGAAGGTTTCAACAACAAACTACTTGTTACTCTGCTCACCAGTTTATGGGGTAGGACAGTGAGGTGCAACTGTGATCTATCGCAGCTCCTCTGATCAATACCGTTACTCACATAAGCTCTGAGTTTTGCTGACACCATGTGACGCAACAACGCCAACCTAAACAACACAAACATGCAGGGCAGAGAGGTACATGCAGGGCGTTGTAAGGAAAAAAGTACCGAAAAAACATATTTTTCCAAATTTAGCACTATTTTACCATTATCAGCGTGACATATAAAACCTTATAAGACACTCCAGCAGCACTGCTGTGTCTGATTCACTCAGACCAGCACAACACACACTAACACACCACCACCACATAAGTGTTACTGCAGTGCTGAGAATGATCCACCACCCAAATAGTACCTGCTCTGTGAGGGTCCATCAGGGTCCTGACCACTGAAGAACAGGGTAAAAGGGGGCTAACAAAGTATGCAGAGAAACAGATGGACTACAGTCTGTAACTGTAGAACTACAAAGTGCACCTATATAGTAAGTGGAGCTGATAAAATGGACAATGAGCGTAGAAACAAGGATGTGGTCATAATGTTATGCCTGAATGGTGTAAGCTCACTGGTCATTTCGGATAGCAGATAAAATGGTAATATTTGTAGCATAGACATACGGACATCTGGTTCCTAGTACTACAATGGTGAACAATTTTGACTCTGTAAATTTCTCTAGAAAGTGTATTTCACACCAAACCACTCTGAATGATTTTGTTTACATCTAATTGTTGAATGATTAAGTAATTTTGCAAAATCGGTGGAGTTTTCCTTTAAGGGTGCACAATGTATAAGCAGACAAATTATTATTTGCCAATAGATGGGTAACTTAAATGACTATATTTCAGTTTGATAACGTAATTAATGCCAATAATTACAACTGATAATTTAGCATCCTACTGTAAGCTCATGAACATAAGAAAAGTGGGGCTTTGATTTCCTGTTCAATCAAGAACTGCTATACTGATAAGAGTCCACAGTTAAGACTCCTTACATTACAATCACATAACACTGAACTTGGCGTTGGATAAGATACTGTAACAAAATAATGTGAATGTGTACAATAATTGGAATGTCTATATCTCTGTCATGGGATCCATCTTTTACTTACTACACTTCATGTATGCATTATAATGTAAACGTGCCTTAAAATGTAAAACAAAAGCAAATTACTGGCAATTAGTATCAGTATTGGCCACAACTTGGTGTTAATTATCAGCCATTGCCCAAAATTTCTATCACGATTTATCCTTAATGTCAGTCTACAGGCTCTTGTACCAACTGTCTGTGCTTTACCGTCTCAAAGACAGCGTAGTCCTTGCCATAGTTGGCCCCCGGCACCAGGCCAGGACCACCAACGAGTCCGGCACACACGTTGCTCACCACGTTACCGTACAGGTTCGGCATCACCATCACATCAAACTGTTGGGGCTTGGAGACCAGCTGGACACACAGAAACAAAACTGTGTAATATACCAGAGATGTCAAACTGAGTTCCTCCTGGGACACAGCTCTGCAGAGATTAGTGTTTTCCCTCTTCTACCACTCCAAGGTCAACTCATGAACTCCTTGCTAATTAGGTAGATGTTTGGTGTCTAGAGCTGTGAGGCCAATGTAGCTAAAAGTACAAGAACCTTATATTATATTTCATACCACTTAACATCATGCAAACTACATACCTAAATCATCAAAAAACTCAAAATACTCCTACAAAACCATATAAAGGTATGTCACATAGATAAAACCAGCCCTCCTAAAGCCATGTAAAAGTCTGGATGCCCCAGGAAAAAATGAAGTGTTTTGTTCATTTTCAAAGTACAAAAATAACATATAATCTACAAAGAACACTTTTTTGCATATTTGAATATTCAGTAACACAACTACCTATTTGAAAAAACAATAAAACATAAAGTGTTGTCTGTGCCAAAGTTATTTTACTTACTGTTGAACATGTGCAAAGATGGCCACTGTCTAAACCAGAATGTACAAAAAATAAAGAGGAATGTCTTGCATTTTTCATCTCTTCCTCTCTCTGTTTTTTCACCAAGAATGAATCCTTCTGGCAGCCGATCCTCAAACTGTTCAATTTGACTTTATGTCAGTTTGGGTTCAGGATGAGTGTTGTTGGGGTCTCGCCCTGCCCTCAGTGCTGCTGGACAGCCAATCAGCATTTGTATCTCTGAACCCTTTCTCTGAGTCGCAACCTAAATATATATAGCTTTATAGTGCCTTGCTCCTGGTCATAATTGTGGTAGAGGCTCAAATGTGTTAATCTGACAGGTTACTGGAAAACTGAAAATGAGCTGTGTGTGACACTATATTAGCTAATATGCATATGCAGAGAGTATATAAACAAAATTATAGACAAATAATCATAATCAGCTTTCATATGGTGGGAAACAGATACCTGCATGGTGGTGTTGTCCACAATCATGTTGTCAAAAGTAATATCAGGATATCCCGCTGCCACCTCCTTACAGCACTGGAGGAAGAGGCCATCACCCAGCTTCCTGTGTGGAGCAGAGCAAAGATTAAATGACTCGAGTTCTGAACTGCTACCTGTAGGCTCATCCTATCAAATGATAAATAAACAGAACTGTACTTCATCAATATGGCATACAGGTTGTGTCTTAAGCCAGCATTTTGCTCATATATTGTGATTCAGAGTAAAAAAAAAATCAACCAAGGCAAAAAGAAAATAGTTATTACTATGGACAGACACTCACATGATGTTGGCCTTATGTACGGCCGTGACCCTGCGGCGACCTTTCTCTCTGGCTAGTTTGAAGGCGTACTCAGCAATCCGCAATGAGTTCACCCGAGTGATGATCTTCAGACTCTCCACCACTCCTGGGACATTCTGTAGAGGTCAACACGGTAAGTGCACATACACTGATCAGACATAACACTCATTGTCCATTTTATCAGCTCCACTTATTACGTAGGTGCACTTTGTAGTTCTACAGATACAGACTGTAGTCCATCTGTTTCTCTGCATACTTTCTTAGCCTCCTTTTACTCTGTTCTTCAGTGGTCAGGACCCCCATGGACCCTCACAGAGCAGGTACTATTTGGGTGGTGGATCATTCTCAGCACTGCAGTAACACATGTGGTGGTGGTGTGTTAGTGTGTGTTGTGCTGGTATGAGTGGATCAGACACAGCAGTGCTGCAGGAGTTTTTAAACACCTCAGTGTCACTGCCGGACTGAGAATAGTCCACCAAAAATATCCAGCCAACAGCGTCCTGTGGGCAGCGTCCTGTGACCACTGATAAAGGACTAGAGGATGACCAACACAAACTGCGCGCAGCAGATGAGCTATTGTCTCTGACTTTACATCTACAAGGTGGACTGACAAGGTAGCAGTGTCTAATAGAGTGGACAGCGAGTGGACAGTGTTTAAAAACTCCAGCAGCACTGCTGTGTCTGATCCACTCAGACCAGAGCAACACACACTAACACACCACCACCACATCAGTGTTACTGCAGTGCTGAGAATGATCCACCACCCAAATAGTACCTGCTCTGTGAGGGTCCATGGGGATCCTGACCACTGAAGAACAGGGTAAAAGGGGGCTAAGAAAGTATGCAGAGAAACAGATGGACTACAGTCTGTAACTGTAGAACTACAAAGTGCACCTATACAGTAAGTGAAGCTGATAAAATGGACAATGAGCGTAGAAACAAGGAGATGTTATGCCTTATCAGTGTATTTCTGTTACCCCTTACTGGTACTGTTTTCAATACAGGTCTTAATTTTAACAATATTCAAATTGCTGTTTGAATATTCATGTTTGTAAATGAACAGGAATATCCAGTTTCAAAATATTTTATATGGCTATAAATTAAAAACGAAAACACAGAAGATTCATGGTTTTTTATTGCATCTATCATTAGAGGTGATCTATACCTGACTGTTTGGTTGGTCTAGTGATTTCACTTTGCCTTTTCAGACATGAAAACCCATAAGAAAAGGGTGACAAGTTCAGAAATAATCCCCTGTATTAGGGTCCAGTGGCATCGGTCATAGGAGAAAGATGTGGTGATTCTGGTGCTCTCTAACTAAACTAAACTACAGGTGTAGTTGCTGTAAAAATGTCCAGTAAAAAAATGTAAAAAACTTAAACTTATTGTTTAAAAACTTGTTGCTTACCAAAAAGTCAAGGTGTACAATATTTAGAAAATGTCTCATTTCAAAACCCCATGGATGTCTGAGTAAGAGTGTGTGTTTATGTGTGTGCGAGACAGAAAACACACACCTCATGCTCCAAGCTGCTGTACTCTCCTTCAGTATTCTCTCTGATGATGATGATGTCTATGTCTTTGTGGCGGGTCTGGACTCCAGGCAAAGTCTGACAGTGCATTACATTAGCATACAGGTCCAGAGACGTGCTGAGACAAGAGAGAGGTTCCAACAAGGGACAGTCATGACATTGCATGGCATTCAAAGTTGAGTTAAGACCTGTTTCACATACACCACCATGACTCTTACAGCTTAGACACGCCAGCCATACATACAGAGTTCGCGCTGCACAATGGTACATCAAGCAAGATACAGCCATCCTCACAGTAAAAAAATAGCTGTTATAACTTTAAAAAGTAAGTAACTGGGCTGCCTTAACATTTTGAGTTAACTGAACTTATATTAGTAAGTCAACACAACAATTATCTGTTTTACGTTCTGTTAACTTTATTTGAAGCTAAATAAACCAAAAATTTAAAGCAGCCCAGTTACTAACTTTTATTAAAACCCTATTTTTGTAGTGCTTTTACCAAATGGATAAATAATCCAGTTACTTTTTTCCAATTCATATTATTCTTATAAGAGCACAGTATCCTTTAACCCTTGGTGGCTTCCTGACCAGTGATTGGGCAATTGTTTCATGCCTGGCAGACCTACTGAGAAATCTATGTAGTAGGAAAGGTTTAACTTGTATTTTGTTTGATAACAGTAATTTTTTTTAAAGTAAATTAAAATAATTAGTAATTTTTAAATCTTTGTTTGTTTCTGTTTTGTTTTCATTTGTTTTTTCATAGTAGGGATTTACAAATGTACAAATTTACAAAAATCCCAATTTGAAAGAGTGCAATTTTCAAATGGCAATAGCTGCGATTTGTCTCCTACATAATTCAATGTTGTCCTTAAGTGGGCAAATTTGTGTCTAATACTGTCTCTAATCTAATACTGCAGAGCTTGTGAACTGGCAGTCTGGAACACTCATTCAGCATTCAAGCCTCAAGACTGAAAAATGTGTGTGCTGGTTTTCTTGGCAAAAACAGGCTTGGAGCTTAATTTAAAGAAAATATTGGCATTTGAAATTTTGGTTTTCTTAATATGGGTCAATGAAATCGCAGTCAGATATTTTTGCCAAATTGTTGCCAAATGAAAAGCAAGATGTTCCACACTGCACCCGCCAGAGGTAATATATGTGAAACAAGCCTAATAACCAAGCTATTATTTGGTAATACTATTAAAATGCATATGGTTTGAACTGGTCATAGATTTCTGTCCTCGCAATGATTTATTTCCATTACAATTCTCTTAGATCAAGGTTTTTTTGTATGAATTATTTTTTTAAATACATTGAATACACAAATTCAGCTAGATGAAATATCTGGAATACAGACAGTTCAAAAAATATGTCAAGCTTTTTATTTTTATTTTTAAAATAGCCCTTATTTTTTAAATTTTTTGCCAAAAATGAGTGCACACTTTACTGACCACAATTACAACGAATCCTAATTTCGAAATCATTGCACCGCCACCTTCATTTTACACCCCTATAACACAGTAATACCGTAGCAAGTTGTTCCTGGATTTATGAGAGGGAGGAAGGTTGTGATTGGTCTCAATGTTTCCTGCAACAGAAATAAGAGTAAAATGCAGAACAGTAAGAAGTAAATCAGTTAAGTGCACATTTTCAGACTCGGACACACCCACAACACCCTTAAAAGCCACGATACCCACCCTTCAGCGCAACTCCATTGCGTCTGATAGCCGTGACAGCGTTATTAATCTCCTCCTCAGAAATAACCGATGAATCCACGGTCACCACCTCAAAATCCACAGGGACGCAGCAAAACCTGTGAAGACCCCAATCTGTCAAACAATTCAGATCACCCATGGCCCAAACTAAGACTCTTTTTTCTCTGCCTTTTTTCCTGACCTGAAGAGCTCTCGGGCATGATTCAGGAGTTCAGGTCCAATCCCATCTCCAGGAATCAGGGTCACCGTGTGCCGGCCTCCGTACTTAGCAGGAGGAGGCTGGTGTAGAGATAAGAGAGTTATTCACACGATAAAACCAGATCAGGTGGACAAATACATGCAGCATAACTAAAAACATTTCTAGTATTCATTTTGAAGCCTGAATTTGACCAATTTGTCCAGATTTAGATAACAGTAGGGGAGAGCGGGGCTGGTTGGCACAGTTTTCACTCTCTGCTGTATATCTCAGGTATCACATACATTAACCCTTGTGTGGTTACTCAATGGTCTGGTGAACCCAATGCATTATTGTTTAGATAATCAATACAGCCATAACAATTTATGTAAAAATACCAGATGTTTAAAATATCACAAGTGGCCAGAGTAGGGTTCTCCTTTCGCAGCTTTAACATACACACACACACACACACACACACACACACACACACACACACACTAACAGCAGGCCATGTAGGAGGAGAACAGAGTGAAGGACACAGCACCTCCACACTTTCATTCCCCGCAGGTTCACCCAACACCACATGTGTAATATAAATGTGTGGGGGGTGAACAGTGTGACGTCACTGAAAATGGGTTATTTTATATGTTCTCCACAGAAAATGAGCAAATGATGAGGAATCTAAGGTTGAAATAATAATAAATCACATCATTTTTCCCTTTGGTAAACATTGAAAATGAGTCCCACAGACTGAACAACACGCAAGGGTTAAATCCAACTAACAAGCTCAAATAAAAAGCTAAAAAGCAGATATTCTTAATGTCACAAGATATTTCCTGGAATTACTGCATAATATGGAGTTGGCTGGCAGGTTATGGGGATGGTTGGCACAATGTAAAAAGGCTAGTTTCAAAAAATGAGGCAATGGATAGAAATAATGAGAGCTTTCGACCAAACCATTAATACAACCATTCCATGACAACCATATGATGTTTTTGAATCAATTAATCATTAAGAATGTTTATTTTATTGTTGGCTTGGTGATGAAGTACTGCATGGGTGTGTTATTTAGTATGCTATCTAGTTTGTGTGCAGCATATAATATAAAATAATCTATGATTGTGATAACAGCCCTACTAGAGGGGGGCAATATTAAGATATTTTATCGTTGTTGTGATAAATTTTATCATGACAAACAATACACTCTTCTGAGTGTATTGTGGATAATCAAAACTCAAAGAACACTGACAAACTGACTGCGTGTTTCATTAAAAATAAAGTGTAATTAGTCCTGTTTGACTGAGTTTTTGTGTCTGTATGTCAAAATATTGTGATACATATGTCTCTGAGTGTCATAATATGATATTTGCCATACCGCCCACTCCTAAGCTCTACAATTCGGCAGAAAGACACGTGCCAACTAACCCCAAACACATCAAGACACAACTGTATTTATTTCATGTTAGTTTACTAGCATTATTTATCATTGGCTTTCAAAAAATATATCAAAATATAGCTGATTGCCACTAAAATTAATACATTTTTGAATCTTTTTCTTTAAAATATTTCTACAATGTATGTATTGAACTATATATATATATATATGTAAAACTTATTTTACGTAAAAATTAAAGGTTGTCTCCACTGTAACAGACGGTAACATCCAGGGTTTTTGACAAAATGGATAAATGTTGGTAAAGAAGGCATTTATTTGTAGCTTACATGTTTCTGGATGCTCCCCTCCCACAAGTTAATACTGTGTCAACCAACACCATTATATCTATGTCATACAGCATCAAAAACCACATAAGCAAGTCTACTTAACTGTGTAATGGTAAGTATAAGGCTCTATTACTTGTTAGCTACATTACCCTCATAGCTCTTAAACTAAAGAAGTACACTTCAGATGCAAAACATCTCGATTGACTGACTACATTAGTGGTAAGAAGAAAATTGTATACATTTAATTTTATGTCTGTAACAAACATTGTGTTGTTTTCAGGTGAAAGTTGGGCCTAAGCAGCTCATCTACATCAGAAGCCTCTCATCCACCACTGTATTCTTTAAAGGTGCATTGTGTAGGAGTTAAATAGTTTATTTCCACAAATGCACTTATGACACAGCAAGCAGTAATAAAACCCACACAAACACACACAGGCAAAAAGCTGACCTTATTTAATCAACAATAACAGTGGCCTCTGGAAACAACAAGCATTATATCATGGCCGATACTCAGTGCACCGTTATAATATAGTGGTATGATGCACTGCATAAAAACACAGTACTCACAATAGCCTGGCCATGGATGGATGACTGCATGATATTGGTGAGTAGGTGTGAATTGGAGGGAGAGAACAAGCGTGGTTAGTCAGGGAAAATGGCATCAAATGAGCCAGTGGTAGTATTTTTGCCAGTTCAAGCATGAGGTGATATCACTTAAAAACACTCACGGCGCATTTCAACCAATCTGTATCTGCAGCATCGGTAGCATAGGACTGACTGTCCTGCCTTTTCTAAGCTGAAGGAAATTACTGTCCCAGGTAGTCGACTGTGTGTGTTCAACCTACCAGAGATTAGGTTTAAAATGCTAGAGTTTTCCTTTAATTCCTCACTTGTCCACGCAAAAGGGACAGACAGGTATGCAGTGAAAAGGGGACGTCCACAGATTTTACATCAATTGCATGATTGAATCAATAAGATTTAAACAAAGTCATTCAGAGTAGTTTAATGCGGAATACTCTGTTCTAGAGAAACTTGGGAATTGTTCAAAGTGGTGGTGATAGGAACCAAACGTGTTTATGGTATTATGGTACATATGGTATTATGTCTTGGACACTGCTTTACGGTAGTTTTGTCAAGGTTTTGGCCTAAAATGTGCTTTTTTATCATTGCATGGCGGAGTTATACATGCATGATGTAATAAGGCAAAAATAGTCCTCAAAGGAAATTTATTTTTTTAGATTTACTACTATTTTACCATTATCAGCGTTATATAAGGCATGTGGGCTCACAGGTGGTCTTAGATAGTAAATAAAACGGCTATATTTGCACTCTACACTTGCCACCCCTGGTTCCTATCACCTCCACTGTAAAGAAATCCAAGTCATTAAGTTTCTGTGTTCCTGCTGGCGACATCCCATATAAATAAAAATAACACGCGGCCACGTCTTATTAACGTGTGGAAATGAGATCCTAATGCTAGGCCACGACTTAGTAAGGTGTGGGAATGAGATAATTAAGTCGTGGCCATGACTTAGTAAAGTGTGGGAACGACTTAGTAAGGCATGATCTCGTTCCCATACCTTGCTAAGTTGTGGCCACGACTTAGTAAGGTGAGGGAATGAGATAATTAAGTCATGGCCATGACTTAGTAAAGTGTGGGAAAGACTTAGTAAGGCATGATCTCGTTCCCACGCCTTGCTAAGTTGTGGCCACAACTTAGTAAGGTGTGGGAATGAGATAATTAAGTCGTGGCCATGACTTAGTAAAGTGTGGGAACAACTTAGTAAGGCATGATCTCGTTCCCATGCCTTGCTAAGTCGTGGCCACAACTTAGTAAGGTGAGGGAATGAGATAATTAAGTCTTGGCTACAACTTAGTAAGGTGTGGGAACGAGATCATGCCTTACTCAGTCGTGGCCATGCATTAGGATCTCATTCCCATGCCTTACTAAGTTGTGGTCACGCATTATTTTTATCTAAACAGGATGTCACCAGCGGGGTTCCGTATCCCTGCAATTGAAGATAACACATCAAACCACTCTGAATGACTTTTTGCATCTCAACCACTGAATTACACAGAAAATTTTAAAAATATCAGTGGAATTCCCCTTTAATGATCCTTAAGAAGCTTTTATTTGTTTTTGTGTGTTAGGGCAAGAGGTGATACGCTTGTTCTGTGAAGAGGGGTGACATTACAAGGGTGATGACGAGAGGCATAATAAGGTACTGACAGTGACAACTGCACAATGAAATTATATAGGAAGGAGCTGAGTCGGCTTTCAGGACAGAGGTTAAGTGTAGCCTCAGACGAAACTGGCCCTGCAGATCCAATAATGGTTTCCCTGCACAATTTAGGGCTGTGCTTAATTCAATTTGCATCCAGAAAACAGGCCCAATAACATAAACCAACTCATTGAAAAGTGAAAACAATTAGATTTAACCCTTTTTTTCCTCTGAACAGGACTTACAGTGTATGAGGACTTCTCTCTCCTAGTGCATATGACTGGTCTCATCACCTGCCAGAGATCACAGAGACAAAACATGAGAAGTTATTCATGAGTTATGAGTGGATTTTGCTGGGACCTGGGCGATGACGGTACAGTAAATCGTACAGTAATGCCTAAAATGACCATATGCACCAAATTTGCAGCCAATATAAGAGAACCTAAAAGAAGCTGTTCAGCTTTTTGGACATACAGAGTAAGTAGCTAGCCGGCTAAGTGTCAGTGACCTTGCACACAGCTGCATTATGGGGACACGCAGGGTAACGAATATGGTCAGATATTCATGCCGCGCTGTCGAGCACGTAGCTACACTTGCTGTAGCGCGAAAATAAGACGTCAAATGTTGCAGTGCTCTTCTACCGAAGCGTTAGAAAAGCCTTACACTGACCGTGCTGCCCTTTAGTCCGGTCCATGGCTGCAGTATCTTGGGGAGCGACAGGACTGACCTGGCAGCTGACATTTTGCATCCGAATGTATGAATAACAGCTCTTCACTGACTCTGTCCTTCGGTAGGCCTGACTAACCCGAGAAACCCCGGCACATTACAAGCGCTGTTTTCAGGCTCCGCAGAGGGAAAATCCTTGTGGAATATTTTGGCTTTGGCCATGTCCTTCACATTAGTGCCACCTGCTGTCAGGGTTGGGCTATTGATGGCGTTTTTATTATAAACGGAAAGGGGAATTCCAGCGATTTTTCAAAATTTCAGCATGGTTCTCTTGCCAAGATGTAAACCATGGAAGCCCGTTTTCGCTACTGGAAAAAATTAAATAGACATTTAGTAAGTCAAAATAATAAAAATTTCCATAATTCCGACTTATTATGCCATAGCATCTCATTATTATCACTGGCTATCTCTTAATAATGAGTACGCATAATAAGTCATTATTATGAGACACCAAGTCATAATTACATGACTTAGTGTCTCATAATCATGAGAATTTTTTTCTCATGATTATGAGAAAGTAAGTCATAATCGTGAAATACTAAGTCGTATTTATGAAAAAGTAAGTCACAATTATGAGATACTAAGCCATTATTTTGACAGGTCGTTGTTATGAGATGCTAAGTCATTACTATGAAATACTAAGTCCCGATTACCACATAGCAAGTCATAATTATAAGATATTAAGTCGTAATTATAAGATTTTAAGTTATAAATATGAGCTCTTAAGTCACATTTGTGAGATTGAATCCCATTATTATGAGATACTAAGTCGTAATTATGAAATGCTTAGTCGAATTATAAGCAATAATTATGGAAAACTTTCCTATTATGAATAACTAAATGACTGTCTTACATTGTAAACAGAGTCATCCAGAGCAGTTTGACATAAAATGCTTTATTCTAGAGAAACTACAAATCTAAAATGTTCAGTTTTGTGAATTAGACATCACAGGCGTCTAAATGCCTCTAAAACCTACATTAGCTAAGATATTGTTTTTTTATATAGATCTCAACGACTCAACTAAGAAAAAGTGTTGTAAAACCCTTTTGAAATCCTCCTAAGTTTTATACTGTAATAAAGTGTAAATAATCTATCTTCATTCCTCATTATGGACATAGTTTCCATAGAAAGACAAATAATTAATATGGGGTCCTGATAATCTGAGTAAAGCAGGCCGTGGACCATTCATCAGTCAGTAGGCCAGGATGAATGCTTGTGGTTGCTGAATAGTACATTAATTAGCCCTCTTTTTCCATAGACCACTTAATGTGTAGTCACTTAAAACTAAGTCTCGGTGAAATGTACAAAATGATGACTGTAATGACTTAATAAACTCCCGCGACAGCGGTCCGATTTTTCTGTGTGACTCCCCAGCTGTACAGTAACTGCATTTTCCCTGCTATTTTCCTGTGGCTCGAAGCTCCTGTCCGTCAATGGTGCACTTGTTGCCCTGAACAAGTGAGAGCACAAGCAATTTCGGGACCGAGTACGTTAACGTTGTTTGAATGTCTGAAAATGTGCTGCATTTGCATTTTATTCTGAATAAACAGAGAAAAGTACACATTCTGCTCGCTATTTGGCATTTTATATCTAAACCCTATTCCCCAATCTGTTTTTTTTTTTTTGAATGAAGCGATCCTTTTGGTTTTGCCTTGGCATCGGGGTCACTTGCCAAAGACATTGGTAGTTGTAGTCTTCGACTCGGTCGCTTTGTATCTGCCAATGAGCCGTTTGTCAACTTAGAACTACATTTCCCACAATCCCGCTCCGGTTCTCCTCCTACTCTCCTACTCTCGCCTCCCTCCCACTGTCTGCTGGTCCGCGGGGAAGTCGCAAGATGGCCGACGTCGCTTGAAAGTATGTTCCTCTCCTCAATATGAAGCCGTGAGTGAGACAGAGAGTGAGGGAGTTTACGTTTTGGGGTTTTTTGTTTTTTGTTTTATTTTAGTTCTTTTACTTTCTTTTTTTGTTTTCGTTTCATCGTCCACTTCATTCCGGATTCGTCCCCGCTGTCTCGGATTCGTCTGGACTAGTTTGAGTCGTCAGTCAGTCAGTCAGTCAGTCACACACACACCGGGCTCTGGCTAACGGGCTGCGGTAGCTTAGCTCGGTTTGTTAGCCGCAGAGCAGCAGCTTCGCGTTAAATCTGTTAGCCAGCATCAAACATTTTAGTCATACTTTACAGGATCTGTACACCGCAGTCACACCAAAACAGTGGGCGCAGCGTTCAAACACTATGCTAGATCGGCCAGCAGTTTCATAGTCGCGGTTTAACGTGGTGCCAGTTCGCTAGCATGTAGGATTATATAGCTATCTTTGGACATTTTCACCGTTGTCGACACCGTTACCGCCGTTATCTCCCACCGTAACGTTGTATAAGTACCGTCGATCATGTTTTCCCACCGAGCCACACTGCACTGAATGCAAATAGTCCGTAGTTTGGACAGTAGTGTTGGCATCGTACCAAAACACAGAGAAAGGAATGGCTGCACACTGCACGTACATGACCAGATATAAGACATAGCCTCACCCACAACTATACTTTCACAGACTTACACGTACACAACGCATTTTTGGCGAAAAATCAGTTGTTCAGTTAACGTTACCCCAGCTGTAGTTCCCACCTAGTCACGTTAAGAAAGACTGACTGGGCACGCGAAGATTAATAACTCTGTGAGGAGCAACGTTACTCATCTTGCACAGCTACTGCAAACGCACGCTTTTCTGAGACTAGTACGGGACATAAAGGCGCGCTATGGGAGTGCAGGGCTTTCAGGAGTATTTGGAGAAACGCTGCCCCGGGGCGGCGGTCCCCGTGGACCTCCTCAAGCTGGCTAGAACAGCAGGCCGACAGCCTCCACACCACCACCACCCTCATCCTCACCACCACCATCCCCATCACCCCGGCTCACTGCCTCCGCCCCCACCGCCCGCGCGGATCCTGGTGGACGCGGACTCGGGCCTCCAGCGGCTCTACGGCGGCTACCAAACCGATTGGGTGTGCGGCGGCGAGTGGAACGCCATGCTGGGCTACCTGGCGGCCTTGTCTCAGGCCTGCCTGTACCAGGGCGGCCTGGAGCTCGTCGTCGTGTTCAACGGCACGCTGGGCAAGGAGCGCTGGCCCGAGTGGGCGCGGCGGGCGCAGGGGCAGCGGCAGACCGCGCAGCTCATCGTCAACCACGTCGGCAGCAAGGCCACGCCGCCCCCGCGGGCATGGTTCCTGCCGCCCGCTTGCCTGAGCCACTGCGTCCGCCTCGCCATGTTCCGCTTCCGCGTGCGGGTGAGTGGCGTGAAAAACACCATTCAGGAGTGTAGAGTGTAGTTCATGTGGCTGCTTAGATAACCCAGTAGAAACACATCTGCTGGAGTGTTTAATCGAAAAGTTACTCGAAAAACTTCGTGCTCTTTGTCAGCAAAGCTGAATATATATCTGATGATTACAGTCACCAAGTTGTGTGTGTGTACAACACCGAATTGGACAAAAGGATATTGAGTATATATGCAGTTAATGCTGTAATCAACCAATGATCTGTATGCATCTCCACATAGTGCATTATAAAAGGGTGTTGAATATGTATGTAGGTAATGCTGTAATCAACAAATGATCTGTCTACATATTCAGATAAATAACACTTCAACTTCTTATAATGTACTATGTTTAACTGTTAGATTAATCAACATGCTCCTCTGCATTTATGCATAGTGCTTTAGAAATGGATGTTGAGTATGTAATTGCAGTTCTCTGTAAGGATGTTTTTATATGAATTAGAAAAGGATGTTGAGTTCATATCTTGATCGGTGGAAGCATTGAGCAACCCTTCATCTGTGTGAATAGCATTAAAACATATGCAAAGGATGCTGAGCACATCTTAGTACTGGCCAAGTGTATGAGCTAGATTTCATCTGTATGTGGTCACGGTGTATTAGAAAAGGATGTTGTGTACGTGCCTTATATTTGATCCCATTATAAAGTTTATCCCAGTTAGAAAAGGAGGTTAGATGCATCTAAATGTTTGCTGAAATAAAAGTGCAAGTAGGAAAAAAGTTGAGAACTTACCAGATAGAAAAGGACGTTGTGTAGGTATTTAAATCTTAAAGTAATCATGTAGTATTTTTCAAGTGTGTTTAATAGCAGTAGTATATTAGGAAAGGATAAAGTATTTAAAAGTTGGATATAGAGAAAGGTGTCTGATGGTGATAGAAAGGCATGTTTACGTTGTCACTTGTTTAAATAATTAGCAATTTCCTTGTACGTGTTTACAGTGATGTTACATTGTAAGTGCCACGGTTGTACTGGTTCAGGACCGCAGGGCTCAGGGAGCGTGATATTTTACAGAAATTCTGGGCTGAAGTCTGCCTCCCTCTCTTTGCTGTAGGTGGTACAGACCCTTGAGGACCACCACCAGGAGGTGCTATCCCTGTACAGAGACTACGGTTTTCAGGGCCTGATTGCACAGGACTCGGAGTTCGCTCTATGCAATGTCCCAGCCTATTTCAGCTCCCATGCTCTCAAGCTCTCCTGGAACGGCAAGAATCTGACCACTCATCAGTACCTGCTGTCTGAGGCTGCTCGCCAGTTGGGTCTCAAAACCCAGCACCTGCCCATCTTTGCTGCCCTGCTCGGTAAGAGTCACTTACCAAAGGCCAAAAAGTCCTCAGTCAATTTGCTCAATTGCCATACACTTTTAGCTCATTCTGAATTACGTAATTATGGCTAATCAGAAAGTTTTTCTTTTACAGGGAACCACATTCTGCCAGATGAAGACCTGGCTGCCTTTCATTGGAGTCTCTTGGGTCCAGAACACCCTCTTGCCTCCCTCAAGGTACGTTCACTGCTTTGTTTTTCTGTCTAATAACTCGGTTTATTTCTTGTGTCGTTCTCATTGCTGTTTTGATCGTTTCAGGTAAGGGCTCATCAGTTAGTCCTCCCTCCTTGTGAGGTTGTGATTAAGGCTGTATCAGAGTATGTTGCATCTATCAAAGACCTTGGGAACCTGGATGCTGTGGCCAGGGATGTATTTAAACAGTCTCAGGTAAAGCGTATTCTTTGTCATTATCAGAAATGGCTTGGTTTTACCATCGAACCACACTCAGTTTAAATGATGTTGTGTTTCTCTCTTGCTCAGTCTCGGACTGAAGATAAGATCGAAAGGTTTAAGAAAGCAGTGGAGTATTTTTCGGCGGCCAGTAAACCAAGACCTCTTTCAATGGGACCTTCTCATTACCTCTGTAAGTATATTCCCTGTGTACACATTTTCAGAATTGGACATCCACAGTGTTCCAATGTGTACAAAAATGTTGAGTATTGCTGTAATCTCAACTATGGTATTTGTCGGTGTGCTTAATTTAGCTTCTTTTTCCACTTTCATAATGGCATAATCTCTACTTGGCTTTGTTTACAGTTCCAGGTTTTGGGCCTGGTCAGTTTGGCGGACCTCCAGGCCACATGGCGGCAGTACAGTCTGGAAAGGCCCAGGTACATGTAGTATGTTGTTTGCAACTTCTGTGGTTTTCATAGCATATATCCAAAGTGGTCTTTGTTCCAACTAAAACACCTTTGTGTTTCTTTTACCCTGTTATCTGGTAGTTCGGTCCACCCCAGGTGTCAGGTGTTAAGGTGCCTTATCCAGGTGGGCCCTATGGACCCGGCCCAGCGTCTGGTCCTGCCCTTCTATTCCAGAACCCACCTCCAGCACTGCAGGACTGCAATGATTCTCTCGTTGGGAAAATGGGCTTTGCTGAATGGTCTGCTCCTTATGATTCCACTCAAGGTGGCAACCGACTGCCCAATAACCACACAGCAGCTCCCTCAGGCCCTTCCCCCTCACCATCTTCTTCTTCGGATGGGGAGGAGCAAAATGACACCAGCACTAAGTGAGTTTGCCTCTGAACAAATCGCTGCTCCATTCTTTTCATTTCACATGGCTTCATTCTTCTCCGATCTATTCTTAGCAGAGCTGTTCTAAAAATATTTTAAAAAGCTAACACCACCAGGAGGTGGCAGAAACGGTGTCAAGCTCCTTTAGTTCCCCTATTACTTCACTAATACTTCACTGGTTTGAGGATTCTTGGCATTGAACTTTCTTGGTTTCTTCAAAATAGTTACACTGTGTAAATATAATGTAATTAAATTCACCAAAACATTTCTGTTTCATTCCACTGCATTCCATGTGCCACTTTCCTAATCACCAGTGCTCGTACATGTGGGTGTTACCAGTAAGCAAGCTGGTTAATCAAGCTCTTGACAAATCTGTTTGGGACTAGGGCAAAAGCAGTTTCTGCATTGAGAGACACTCTCAAAACAATGATTTGCTGTGTCTCTTATTCACTTGTGCCTTTTTTGTGCACTTTTTTGATATTTGTGCCCACAGTTTCAAATGTTTCAATCACCCATGTAGTTCATCACAGCATCCAGCTAAAAAGTGTTGGGAGATAAAATTTTCTCCTTTCAGCAAAGTACCAGATTGTGTTCAAAGATGAAAATGGAAAGAACCCTCATGAGATTCAGGATGGATTGAACATGGCGATAATGGTCTCAGTTGCTCCATCAGTGCCTGCAAATCGTTGCTTTTGTTCCCAGAGAGATTTCCAAAGACCACTGGGAGTACACAAGGAGCAAGTAGCAACCAGACCAGTCCACAGCGTAAATCTTATTTTTGGTCACAGGTTTAGTCGTTGTGAGCTTCAGATACACTGAACTTCTTTTTCATGCAGTTGCTTTTCTTGTAACAATTTCATGTTAAAAGAGAAATGCTGTACATTATATGAATATTTGAGGACAATTCCCTTATAGAAGTACTCAAAGTTACATTATGTCTTGTTAAAACTTAACAACTTTTTACCTTTTTCTGTAAATGTGCAAGGTTTTGTTACGACTGTACATAGCGTGGCTGTAATTTGAACTTAGTGACGTGATGATTTGCCCATTTTACATGCCTACAGTGAGGGCAAACTAGTATTCTGACGCTTCTGTTTTTGTTCATTTATATGTTTCTAATGCCTGCATTCACATCAAATTTACATGTGAGGTCTTTTGTCTTTGTAAACAAAAAAAAACAACGGTAAAAAGTAATTTGCTTCTTGCTTTTTGGTTCATTCCTCTTGGCAAACCATCTTCAATTTCCCAAGGTTAAGAGGGTCCCCCTAAAGACTGAATTTCAAAATCCTCCGTAAATTTTCATTGAAATTCAGGTCAGAGCATTGGCTGAGTCACTCAAGCACCTGTCTCAAGTTATTTTGGCTGAATGTTTGGGGTGGTTGTGTTGTTGAAACTTGCTGAATCTTCTCCCCATTTTCAGTTTGTTGATTGATGAGATTAAATTCTTTTCTAATATGTCCTGGTACATCACTTCATTCATGTTTTTTTTTATGACATGTAAAGGCTCATTTATACTCACTTTACATACGAAAAAGGATGTTTGTTTCAAACGATGTAACCATCACTGCCAACATACTTCCCTGCGTCCTTTACGTTGGCATAGATGTAGAGAAACACATCCGTTAGAGGGCAGTCCAGAGTAAAAAGTTTCTGACAACAACAAACGTGGCGACGGTGATGGAGGTCGTAATAATGTACCGACTACTAAAGGGGCGCCGTTGTAGACTGTGGTGGTCTGTGAGGCCATTAAAGACTTTGTGACATGTGGATGGAGAATTCTTTTCACTTATATATTACCAATGAGAGAAACTGACATTGTATCTCGCGTGAACTATTAGCTACACTGCCCCTTCCAGTGGTGCTGCTTCGTTTCGTCTTTATCCGTAAGCTTTCAGAAAACAGGCACAAATACATGTGAAATGAACGCAGAGTGTGAACAGTAGTCCCCGTTATTCGTATCCATATTTAACGTTGAGGATAAATGAGCCTTAATGCCCCAGTACTATTTGCAGAGAAGCAGCTCCATATCATGATGCTAACATCTCCATACTTCACTATGGGTGTGGTGTTCTTGGCCTCATATGTGCAACAACCCACCCACCCCCAACCGCAGTGATGATGAGCTAATTATTGCCATAGTCCAGGGACAACTAGTTGTGGTTCCATTTGCATGAGAACGTTGTGTTTTTGCAGCTTTGATATCTAGAACTCGACTTAATTCCTAGATCAGTATTATTGCTCTAAGAAGTTTGGTAAATATGGGCCAATGTGTGTAAATTTGAAGTGGACATATGCACTGGATATGTACACCGATCAGACATAACATTATGACCGCCTCCTTGTTTCTATGCTCATTGTCCACTTTATCAGCTCCACTTATTATATAGGTGCACTTTGTAGTTCTACAGTTACAGACTGTAGTCCATCTGTTTCTCTGCATACTTTGTTAGCCCCCTTTTACCCTGTTCTTCAGTGGTCAGGACCCCCATGGACCCTCACAGAGCAGGTACTATTTGGGTGGTGGATCATTCTCAGCACTGCAGTAACACTGATGTGGTGGTGGTGTGTTAGTGTGTGTTGCGCTGGTCTGAGTGGATCAGACACAGCAGTGCTGCTGGAGTTTTTAAACACCTCAGTGTCACTGCTGGACTGAGAATAGTCCACCAACCAAGAATATCCAGCCAACAGCGTCCTGTGGGCAGCGTCCTGTGACCACTGATGAAGGACTAGAGGATGACCAACACAAACTGTGCAGCAGCAGATGAGCTATCGTCTCTGACTTTACATCTACAAGGAGGACTGATAAGGTAGGAGTGTCTAATAGAGTGGACAGTGAGTGGACACAGTGTTTAAAAACTCCAGCAGCACTGCTGTGTCCTACGTGGGTCCTGACCACTGAAGAACAGGGTAAAAGGGGGCTAACAAAGTATGCAGAGAAACGGATGGACTACAGTCTGTAACTGTAGAACTACAAAGTGCACCTATATAGTAAGTGGAGCTGATAAAATGGACAATGAGCATAGAAACAAGGAGGTGGTCATAATGTTATGCCTGATCGGTGTATAATCAATAACAACAACAAATGTTTGAATTCATTCAACGTGTAATTACAGGTTTGTTGCCCCATTATAAGCTTTTATTATGGTTTGCGTTTTGAGTTTGAGCTCAACTGGTTTGTTTCGTTTCAGTCACTTGGCTGACAAGTCCTCTAGATGGGAAGACCCCAGTGGCCGTGGAGGAGGCGCCTCCAGCGACAGTCACCAGGGCAACGGGAGTGGGCCATCTATTCCATCGCTGCTGTCCATGGCAACACGGAGCCACATGGACATCACAACCCCGCCCCTGCCACAGGTTAGCGCAGAGGTGCTGAGAGTGGCAGAACACAGACATAGGAGAGGACTCATGTACCCACAGATCTACCACATCCTTACGAAGGTAAAAACACTGGCTTACAGCGTTCACTCGTGTTACATTTCCCTATTATGAGCTGCATTGTCAGACTCTTCCACCAGTCATATGACCCTTTTGACACTGTTTTTGGTCCCTTTTCTCTTCTGCCGTAACAAATTGAATGGAAATATAAAGGGGTGGTCAGACTGGAAATTCACCTTGTAGTTCTGTTAGCTGGGTGGGGCAAAAACCTCTTTTTAGCCCATGATTTATAGGTGATCCATGCAATGTAGTTTTTGTACCGAACTTCCAAAGCAGAAGAGTTAACTAACTGTTGGTTTCCAACAATGGAGACACTGAGTGTGCTTGTCAGTGGGGACACTATTTCATGTATTCTTCTGTAAAGTCCCTGTAGACAGGTTTCAGTTGTTAATAATTTACATCAATTTAAAGGAGTGCAGTTTTCAAAGTACAAGAGCTGGAAGTTTATTTATAGCTTACATTATCAGCAATTCTTTCTTAAGTTTAAAGGGAGGAAATTTAACCTAATAACAGAGCTTGTGAACTGCATGTAGATCAGTCAGAAGCAACCAACATTCATGTGGATTCACAACCACAGCTAACTGGCAGTCTGGCACAGTACAGAGTTCAAGCCTCAAGCCAGAGAAGTGGATATTCTGTTTGTTTTGGCTAAATAACAGACATGGACCTTAATTTGTGGAAAATAATCTGTTTATAGTTGCAGTGTTGGTCAGAAAATTTGCAGTTGAATATTTTTAACCAGTTCTCTTTCATATTGTGAAAGAGAATGTGCTTTTCTATTTATGTAAATTGAGTTTTTTTTTACAGGCAAATTTCATTCTCTTGGTCTGACTGCTGCCTAAAGGAAATGTTAGAAAGCATTATTAGTGCTCACTGAATGACGCAGGGCACTAGTCTGTAGAGAGTAATGTAATTACGTAGGAATTAGTTTAGGGAGCAAGGTGTCTGTCTTCAGCTGGAAAACATCCATACGTCGTGTACATCTCTATAATATAGTGTCTCCCAAAAGTATGTTTTTATTTCAGATGATGTCTGTAGTAATAGAGTGAGTTGGCAGTTTGAACTCTGACATTAGTTTTGTGTGCAGAGTGTTTAGGTGTAGTAAAGGCAGAAAAGCGATTGTCCTGATGATAAAGTGATGAATAAAACCACAAATAACGTTAGCAGCACTGCGCACTTCTTGTTTGCTCAAACGTTGAAGTAATATAGCCAATACTTTATGTAAACATATGAAAGCCATATTAAATGTGCAGTAACGCTAAAGGTGGCACCATGTGGACATGAGAGGTTCAAACGGTTTGTGTTTTTAATGTTAATTCGGCCCAGACTCGGCTTAATATTACTACTTACCCCCTGATCAGCTGATTTAGGCTCTTAGAATATACTAATTATTCTTATAAGGCTGTTTTCTGATAGACATTTAGACTATCAGACTATTCTACCTGCAGTTTTAATGCCAGGCTGAAGTTGGCTTTGTGTTCGGCAACTTGTTGTTCGAATGTTTCCGTTCAACCTTGAGTGGTGCCGCAGTTACATTGCGGAGCCTTAGGTTTTATAATAACTGCTGCACCATTTAAGGTGGAACGTGGAAGAAGCTGAGTGGAGCTTTGTGTTAGAACTACATCTAAGATAGTATGATAGTCTAAATGTCCTTGATTTCAGATTTTCCAGTTAAAGTGATTTTAACTATCAAAATACCCTACTTGGAGTTTTATGTACGGAGCTACCTATAAATATGCGCTGCGGTAGGACATTTCAACGAGAGAGCACAATTCATAAGAGCACAGTCACTAAACTGGTGGATGGAGGTCACAAAGATGAACTATAAGATTTGAAGTATTGCCTTTCACAGCGGTTTTCTTTCTGCATGTTCTGCACATAGGGTGACCATCTTCAGTCAAGTGTCATTCTCTGCATTCTTATGAAAACCAAAGTACGATCACACTTCAGTCTCAGTCCCCATAAAAAAAAAAAAAGGCTGAAAAGTCTCTGGAACGCTGAGACTTTTCTCTGCCATATTTACACTGACACAAAACAAACCCACGTCGCATGCTGCACCTGTGCACCTGCTTCTGGGAGACTTTTGTAACTCTGGTTGATGCTGGACAGTGCTTATCACTTCACGTGTGTGCGCTTATATATAAACGTGTATGTGTTCTTGTATTGCTATATTTGTGAGGACCCCATGTCCTCGCTATGATAGGACTATATAAAATTTGTGCTCTGGTGAGGACATTTTGCTGGTCCTCACTTGAGCATGTGTTGTTTTCACCACATTTACTTTTTTAATTTGTAAACTAAAAGAGCAGAAAAATCGCCTTTTGGACACTGAGGTTAGGGTTAGGTTTAGGTTTAGGTGTAGTGTTATTTAGCTACAGTAACACAAACATCAATAGAAACCTATGGACGTCCCCGTATGTATAGCAAGACGAATGTGTGTGTGTGTGTATGTATAACAGTAAAAATCTAACCTCTCGAGCCTTATTATAGCCCTAATCGTAACACATGGTGGTGGACATTCATCACAGTTTGTGGGACACTTTGAAAGCCGTCATCATATGAATAAAGTGGAATCTGTTGAATATCAAAGACACGAGTTATGGCTTTCTGTGCGAATGTCAACAAATCCGACTCGGACGTCTCTAAATAGACTGAGACATGAACAGAACGCGTTTCTTCGTTTGTGGTTTGTTTTATGGTCCAGTTGATTTGTGCGTTGTGAAAATAAAACGACTCCAGCCTCCTTTGTTTTTTGCCTTTTTGGGATCTGAGTTCTGAAGGAGTTGTGGTTTAAGATCTCATCAGTGCTGAATTGGACAAGAAGGAGACCTTCTTTGACCTTTTTGAAGCCATTTGCAGCTGGTTTACTTTAATTGATTCATTTAAAAAGATCTGCATGTGAAAACATCCTAATATGCAGGTGTGGTGCACAGCATTACAAGCATTATTGTTGGTGAGCCAACCTCATATAGGGAAATAATAATGCTTTAATAAAGCTTTACGTGTGCATTCTTAGTGCAAATGAAGATGCTATGACTTCACTGCATTACTTGTCACAGTCTCATTAGTTATAACTGTAGTGAATTAAGTATAAAAATGCTCACTTAAGTTCCCTTTAGTCTGGTATCATCAAGGGCCATTTTCCTGGAGGGTATGGTTTCGGTCAGGTCTTGGTCTAAACTGCAGTGCCAGTAATGAATCACTTTGGAAATGCTTTTTAGTCTCAGGCTTAATCCGGGTCTGGGAAACAGGCTCTGAGACTCGAAAACATGCTAAAATGAAGAAAAGTAAACACAGTTGATATGATAATGCCAAGTTGAACAGCCCCAAGAACAGTCACTTTTCTAAAGATGCTGATAAAGTTTTGCTATCTGTTAGTTTTTTTTCTCCCTCTCCACTAACTGCTCTCCCTGCTGGTGTCTCTGTCACGTCCCGCAGGGGGAGATGAAGATGCCAGTGTGTATAGAGGATGAGAACAGCACTGACCTGCCTCCTGCCTCTCTGCTGTTCCGCTCTGCCCGGCAGTATGCCTACGGGGTGCTGTTCAGCCTGGCTGAAACCCAGAGGAGGTTGGAAAGGCTGGCCATGCGCAAGCGCGCTCCGCTAGAGGGTGAGTGTGGGAGAGAGCATAGGGTTGGGTAAGGCTTAAAGGAATAGCTTGGCGAAGAGTCAGATTCACTCTATTTTAGCCCAGATGTCCAGTGGATCAGCCAAGACATGTTTGGTGTTTGAAATTTGCTTCTTTAGTTTCTTGCCGTAACTACAAGGCTAATGTAGCTAACAAGTAATGGGAAGTTATGGCGCACCGGTTAGCACTGTACAAGCTGCATGCCTTAATCATCAGGTGCCAGATTGTTAAATAGACATGATCTTGTGGTTTCTGATACTGTGTGTTATACTGCGACTTATAAAAGGTGACTAATATATGGACAAAATTCATTTAAATCGGCTGTAAGTTTCCATTAAATATTAGCTACTTTAGAATTATGTACATTTTTGCTTAACCTTTTTAACTCCTTGAGACCACCGGTGGTTCCAAAACGCACTTCGTCATATTCTTCATAACTTTCATATTTCATAAGCTACATTCAGAAGCTGGGGGTCATATGAGAGCTGTAACTGTCTTCTTTCCAGTCAAATAGATGGGTAGTGTAATTTTAAACCCTTATAATAAAAGAAGCTGAACTCACTTTTTTGTCTACTGAAAGTCGACCCATTTTCCACAAATCTGGGCTATGAACTATAAACAGATGGCGTCTCTTCAGTGATCTGATCTGTAAAAATTATTTTTATAAAATAATACAAAGAGCGTCTGAGATTTTTGGCTTTCAGCAGTAGATTGTAAGCATATAGAAATATGTGTGATCATAAAACACATTTTTTGTTCATTTAAGGGTAACTTTTACAAAAAATAAATAAATAAATAAATAAATAAAAATTTACATCCATTTCATACAGTTACCAAGTAATTTGCCTCATGTAAATTCAGATGGAAAAACCAAAATATACCTGGGAGAATATTAAACTCTTCCTTGAAACGTTGTTGTGCATTTCCACTCTATGAAGTGCTGCTTCTTTTTCTGTTAGGATGCGATTATTTTTTGATTGTTTTGTGCAGTTGTTTATATTCTTGGCTCCCCATAAATACTCATCATAACAAGTACAGCAGAGTGTCAAATTTGCCAGTTACAAACATTTTGAAATAGTGATGCACCAAAATGAAAATCCTTGGCTGAAACTGAAACCAAAATTCAGGATGCGCGCAGCAAAAAACTTAAAGTTGACAATAAAAATGGTAAACTTACTAAATTATTATTGTATGTAGATTACAGTATATTCCACATCATCTAACATCCTTGACAACAAAGAGTGGTTGGTCATCCATTGTATTTATACTTTGCATTTGGGCACAGTCATTTTTGAATATTTTTCATCATTTCTGAACCTGATGGGGGAGATGGCAGATGGCGTTGCCGTGTTAGCGGGACTTTCCTATGTGCTTCTGTTTTGCTGTGTTTTGCATGTCGAGTAGATGTTGTGTTTTAAGATCTGTTGTAGAGAAGTTGCTGCGTGTTGTACCTCCTCTTTATATTAAACATTATAAATCGGTCGTCTTATATTCTGTGTATAAACTACTTTTTTTTTTGGTCAAAATTCCTGTCTGTTTTTTCCAGTGCCTCAGTGCATCCCTCTTTCAAAATGTTATGTCGATCATTCAATCAATATCTTTATTTCTGACTCCACAGTGCCTCCAGTGATTGTTAAGGAGTGGTGCGCCAGCAAGGCCAAGTCAGCTCTGACCCCAGAGCTGGTTCCGGCGCTGTGTTTTCGGGAGTGGACCTGTCCTAACTTGAGGCGTCTGTGGCTGGGCCGCGCCTCAGAGGACCGCAGCCGCCGCACCCGAGCATTCCTGGCCTGCATGCGCTCAGACTGCCCTGCCCTGCTCAACCCTGCCTGCGTGCCATCCCATCTGCTGCTCATGTGCTGTGTCCTCAGGTAGCCACACTAGGAGGATAGCACAGTAACTCCACAATAGAGACAGTATAATTCAAAACAGTGACCGGAGGTGCACTTATGTACTGTTGGGTTCAGGGTGATCGGCTTGCTTTTAGGAGCATTGCTGATGTTTGAGTAGAATTTGATGGTTTTATTGTATGGAAATCTGATGTGGATGTATATCTCATTTCATGTAATTCTTTGTAGAGTAATCATAGAGACAAGCTGAGCAGTTTGTGTTTGCATACAGGTATATGATGCAGTGGCCAGGTGGCCGCATTCTTCAGCGCCACGAGCTTGATGCCTTTTTGGCCCAAGCTGTGTCTAACCAGCTCCATGAGCCTGATCAACTCCAGGAACTCAAGGTAAAGTGATTTTATGCCTCACCTCCATTTGTTTATTACCAGTGATGACTCCAGTGCCAAGTTTATCCTTTAATATCATTGCGTTGCTGTCATTAGGTGGAGAAAGTGGACAACCGTGGGGTCCAGCTGGCCTCTCTGTTCATGAGTGGTGTGGACACTGCCCTTTTTGTGAATGATGTGTGTGGGCAGCCGCTGCCCTGGGACCACTGCTGCCCTTGGGGCTTTTTTGATGGGAAACTGTTTCAAAGCAAATTGGCCAAGGCTACCAGAGATAGGGCTGCCCTGCTGGACATGTGTGAAGGCCAGGTGACCATTTCTCTTAACCTTAATAATCCTAATCTGTTTTGGCCCATATTTTGGCCTATGCATCTTTTGAATGACATGACTAAAACTTTCTCTCCGATCGTCTGTTGCCTGGCAGGAAGAACTGGTGTCTCGTGTGGAGAAGATGCGACAGGCCATTCTAGAGGGCATTAATCTTTCACGGCCCCCTCCCCCACCCCCACCTCTGCCTCCCCCAGCATTCCTGCCTCCTGCTATGGTGCCACCATTCTACCCTGTGCACCCTCTGTACCCACCTCGGCCCCTGGGCTCCATGCCACCTCCGCACCACCAGCACCGGCCAAGAGCCTTCCCAGGTCAGATCCCACCACCATTTCTTAACCCCATTTGACCTCTAGGCTTACTATTTAGTGATTTATTTTAAATCTTATTACTCAGTAACAACTATATATTATTCGGGAAGGTGGGTATTAGCATGGGCTACTTAAAAGACTGTCCAGAGTGGGTGAAACGTGTATTTGATTTTTTTGCTGACCTCACTTTGTTACAGATTGTGTTAACTTGTTAAGTTGGTTGTTGCACAGTATAGTATGTGTTTTAGGCCTCGTTCACACCTGGCATTACCATGTCTTGGGTGATTTTGATCATACGAGGACAGTGTTAAGTGCAGGTGTGACTCAGGTTCTCTGTGTCTTGGAGACATTTGTGATCTGGTCACTCAAACCCCCTTTGAAGGCAGCTATGGATGCGTATGACCACATAACGTTTGTAGTTCGTACTTTGTTTCCAACAGCAATGATGGACCACCTTAATCAGCTGCGAATGGGCCTTTCTAATCAAAGCAGAGAAGAAAGCTTCTTTTTAATTTCCTCTCCTCTAACAGCTTGTACTTGTACACAAACAAGGACTGTTGGAGCTCTTTTGTCTGAAAACAAATGCAGCAAAAGACTAATGTAGTAATCGTGCTGGGGGGCTTACTTCAGTTGTGAGTTCTGAACATAAGTGGTCACAGGAGACACGTTGGAAATCAGTCGGTTTTTGCTCAGATCGCTCGAGATGGATGTTAATAACAGGTATGAACATGGTCTTGCATATCAAATCCAAACTGCACTGGATTAAAGAAAATGCTAGCAGTGCTGGAATTTCTGATACGTTATCTTCTCACTGTGTTCACATTACAAGCCACGATGTTCAAATCCAATTTTTGGCGCAGATCCGATCTGTTTCACAGTTGACTCAGATCTGTCAATGTGAACGAACTGGCATCCTGAAATGACCTGCATGCGCATATCATAATGAGTAACGTCCCATAAATGAATCAAATAAAATACAATTCATTAATATTTCAACAATATTTATTGTCAGTTTTCTCTTTTTAGAGCAAGTCATGTGAAATAACTTCCCTTTGACTCACTTTCTTCTCCGACTGCTGTTTCTCATCTCGTCCCTCCCCTGTGTGTGCGTCACTCACTCGAGTCTCAGTGCTCATCATAATGCACAAATCTGATTGGATGAGTAGCGTCATGTGTGATATTTACAACGCATGCGATTGGTCTGTGAGTCTCCGACCGCTTAAGCCGTACCTTAATGACTAGAAAAGTTACGCCGATTTAAAATAGGACCACCCGGTCGAAATTAAAGAATTCTCCATAGTTTGTTGGTTATAAGTCCAGGTCCGCATAAGACAGTGTCTGGGTCCGGGCTTGGACCACGGTCCGCCTATTAGTGACCTCTGGCCTAGAGTATCTAAACCTGGATTAACAGAAAGTTATTGACCGCTGTTGTAAGCGAATTAACCACGGCTGTGTCTGTTAGGTTTTTTGATACAGAAAGCCTTTCTAAGTTAAACCTGCTTCGTTAGGCAGACTTCAGATCCGCTCTTACTTGTTGTCCAACTACAAGCCAGAACAAATAGCATAATGTTAACACCATGAAAAACAAAACATACCTTTATTTTTAAGCTTTTTGTCCTCGTTTTTACTTGTTCTTTTCTGTTTTTTATTTGTTTTTGATTAACCAGTTGCTTCTTTCGCCCCGTCTCGGGCCTCTTAGACAGCGTAATGATGCAGTAATAACACAGAAGTTGTTGGGGAGCCATCTGGTGGCTTTGGGCCTTAAGTTGCTTATTATGTAGAGTCTGAGTGTGTTACTGGTCTGAACTCCTTAACAGTTCTTAGTAAATGCTGCAGCACTATCCTTTCGTATGCAGTGTGATAGCTACCCTGAAAAAAAAGCTATACATCTAGGGGAAACCAAAGGCTTAGTGACTATTTGGACTGAAACAAATTAATGAAAAATTGATGAATAATTAATTCATTAATGAAATATAATTGTCTTTTTAAAGACATCCTCCTACACATTATTGCTGTTAAAAATGACATTCAGAGCACTACATGTATGTACTTGTCTTATCCTGAATATGTTGGGGTTTTTTTTCAATACAACGTTATGATATCGTAAACCCTGAAAAATGGTTAAATAATTATCGTGATATTGAATTGGCACATGCCTGATGTCAGTCGAGGCTCATACTTATTATTATAATGTATTTATTCCAACTTGCAGGTATCCAGTCTATACCTCCTCAAGGTGGGAAGCTGGAGATTGCTGGCATGGTCGTAGGTCAGTGGGCTGGAAACAAACCTGTCCGTGGCAGAGGGGGCTTTAACATGCAGGTGGTGTCAGTGGGAGGAGGGAAAGGGTAAGTCTGCCGTTAGCCACCTCTACACTGAGTGAATGTAGGGACGCTAGTGCTTGTTGCAGTTTCAGGCTTTGGCCTTTGAAGAAAAGCTACTGTTTACAAGAAAAGCAGATAAATTTAAACTATTCTTGGAACCAATGCTTTGTTTGTCTCTCTGTTGTAGAAGGGGTAAAGAAATTACGCCAAAAGGACGGGGAGGGAAGAAAATGACCACCAGTCGAACACAGGTAAAGACTATATATACAGTTCTGTAATCTACTCTGCATTTATGACAGATTAATTCATGTTTAGCCAAATAAACTATAACGGACTGCAAACAATTTCATAAGTCATTATTTATATAAAAAAAGCCTTGAAACAGATGGTCTTCTTGTTTTTATTATTGTTTATGCTTTTATTTTTGGCCTTAAACTACGGATTTGCAGAAATAATCTTCCTTGTAGAATCTCTCCTCATCGCCCCCCTCTACCAGCCCCCCAAAGCTGGCAGAGGAGCCCAAGACAGTGGGGCGGCCCTCTGGAACTGGTGAGAGAGCTGGGGGCGTGTCCCAGCAGCTGAATGGCAGCTCTTCAGGAAGCGCCACTGGTCAACCCATTGACCTGCCACCACAGCCAATCCAGTGTGCCTTAGCCAGCAGAGACAACCAATCAGGAGATGGGGTGGAGGTAGAGGCCCCTTGTTGCCTTGACGACTGCCCATCAGATGGTGCACTACAAAAAGAGGAGTAATTACATCCCATAGTGTAATAAGAATGATTGAGTTGAGAGGGAATGATCCAAGTTCGACTGCCTTTTCCTTGCAAAATATGATAATTAGGGCACAGTAGCCACTTTGTGTTGTCATAAGAATAATTTATGATGTTACAGATGCTGAAAACTATAGATGGACAGTGTGAGAAGGAGTGAGGTCTATGTCACCTTAACAGCAGGGTTCTGATTTGCAACTGAGCGAAGTTAAAATCACAACCTTCGATTGCACTTTGCACTGAATCTTTTCGATTCTGGATCTCAGCCTTTCCACTGCCCCATCAGGGTTGTAGCATTGTGACAAGCTCTCAGTCTTTTCACCTTTCTAACATTTTTGTTTTATTTTGAAACATCTTAGAACATCAGTGTTGGTTGTATCCGTATGATAGCCTAAAATGGCTACCGTAGGCCCTTACTGCCCAAAGTATATTCTGATTTAACCCACGTTCGTTTAACTCTTAGCTGGCCAATTTAAGAGCACCCTAATCTATGTCCAAGTGTGTTTGAAACAACGTTTAGTTGTCTGTCTGCTGAAAAAGCAATGCTTACGTTACCAAGGCTGTAGATCCGAAATTAACTCATCAAGCGTCCACCAAACCAACCATGAGTCTTCATGATAATTTAGTGTTCTTTGTTTTTGGTCTCCTTACACTATTTGTATGTAATTTGGGCTGGAATACTGAATTATTGTCATGATTTTGGTATGTAAAATGACTTTTTAATGTAATTTTTCTTATATCTTAAGCGGCTTACAGCGGTGTTACATTAATCGTGAAAATTGAATGGTCAGTCAGAGATGTTGTCCCAAATATGTCAAAACCTGAGTTTCTTTTTCTTTCAATGCCTTCTTTTTCTTAAAAGGTGGTACCAAGAACAAGCCCAGTTGCTAGTTACATTTATAGACAGTATTGCCCAATTTAAGATAGAAGAGAAACAAACCCTGTGCAGATTTGACCAGTTTGAGTTGTGAAGGCCCCCCAGTGCGCAGTGATAATGTAGCTACCGGCCAATGAAAGTTGGACATCGGCTTATTCATCATCAGTCTCATCAGGACTAAAAAGTTCATTTAAATTGCACAGCAATGTCCTATTCTTGAGTTTTGATATCATAAGCAACCCATTGTTTTCACAGCGAACCATAAAGGTCAGTTTAGTTTCAATCCTGACTTTGTTGCAGGACAGTGCAGGTTGTGTCACAGTGAATTGCTGAATTCATGTGTGTTGGTTTGCTCATTTCAGTCCTTCAGATTCTGTTTGCCATCTAAGTAACCTGCCATTGCTTCAAGCACAGGGTCAGGCTCCCCCCCTGGTGGCTTAGTCCAAGCTCAGAGAAAGAGAGAGAGGTGGCAAGACAGTGCAGAGAGGTGAGATGTGAAGAATAGCTCAGTGTGTCTGCAGGTGCAGAAGGAATGGAGATGGTGTCAGGCAGGAGTGGTGTTGCTTTACTGGCTCCACACTTAATAGCTTTTTTTCTCTCATGTAGTCTTGTGACAATCTTTATTGTTTTATTTTTATTTTTTTTTATTACTCCCCCCTTTTGAGTCCCAGTAATAGAGCTACTAATATTGTCCTAAGATGATATATATTATATTTTGTAAGCACCTTATGCCCCCAAATGATAGATATGCAAGCCCAAAGCCAAACTGAAGAAGAAGCTCTTGAAAATTGATTGTATTCCAACGTAAAGCACTTATATTATTTATGTTTGATGTGGTTATAGCACAGTACTCTTTAGCTACATCCATGTGATGAAATAGCCCAAGCATTTGATGTTAAAAAGCTTCCTCACTTTCTGTGTTGTGTAATAGAAATCATTACCAACAGATCTGAATGTGAGAACAGAGTGCATAGGAAGCAGCACTTTGTTTTAAAAACCTGAAAACACACTGGATCGCCCTTGACCCAGGATAAAGAAAAAAGTTAGGGAGAAAACAAAACGTTATGTGGAGAAGGAACCATGAAACCAATTGATATCTTAGATGTTTTGTATATACTGTAGACGTAATCTGTGTGATCTCAGTGCGCGATGATGCAGTGGAGTGATTTTATCAATGGTTGGGAATGCACACAACCTGTCAGCCCTGAACTCCACTCCACTGCTGCTTGTCACTTGAAATGAAGATACATTTCCATCCGAGCTTTAAGTGCTTGAGGTTTTGAGTTTTAGCTGTTCAAATTCAAACCCCTCTGATTCTGCTCTCATCCTCCCTTTTGTGCCTAACGTACATGTGCACGTGCATTCGCCCACCATAGCTAAAATCATTTAGATTTCTGTAAAACACAAATTGAACGTTTAAAATTAGTTCCTGAAGTGACGAGAACCTTTTGTGATGCGGTCAGCTAACAGAGAACAAAAGGAAGAAGGCCTCTCTGGACCTTCCGTGACATTATGCTGTACGTGGTCTTGTTTTCGTGACATTACGCTGTTTGTATTGTCTTGTTTTCGTGATGGCCCGTGGAACTTGTGCACTTCTTACGGAAAGCACTTTTATCGAAGCAGATGGGCTTTAACGAACCCAGATTAGATTCAAATGATCAAGCCTTCTGGCTTGTAACCTTGATTTGACACTTTGACACAAAGGGGCAGGAAAGTCCCTTATGTGAACATGTTTTTTGTACCTATGATATCAAGGATGTTGTGAATGAGCTTCAATTTGTATTGAAGGACAAAATAATACACTAGAGAAAGGCTTTTCCAATAATTACGTTGTTTTAATCTGAAAAAGTTAGGATTATCGATTATCCGAATTACATAAGTAGGCATGTCAATAAGATGCACCTTATTTTGTTAGGATATAGATTTTTTAAAAAAAAAGTCTATCTTGTGCCACAAAATGTATATGGAAAGCTCTATAAAATCAAATAATGACAGACACCCATATTTATGTTTGTATATTTTAGAATTTTCCACAATTGTGGAAACCCCTACAGCTAAATACCAACTCGTTTAATTGTATACCCCCCTCAGAAGTATCTCAGTTGGCAGCAGGAGTTTGTCTTTGCTGGGTATCCAAGTTGATGTTTCTTAGAAAAAGAGACAGAATATAATAATACTGGACATACTTCACAGAACTATGATCAATCAGGACTAATCTAGACCATAGCATTACAGCTAGAGTACTGAAACTAGTACCATAGAATACATACGACCGAAATTATTCCGAAGTTCAACCTTAGGTTGTTGGATTTGATGATGAAATTGTTCAGCCGTGCCGCCGATAGATGGATGTTCCGTCGTTTCTTAAGCACGCGCTAACGCCTACACAAACACGCACGAATACACACACACCCACATCTGTACACACACACACTTATTCGCTTCAGACGTAATATAGATCGGTGATCAATTTTCATTGTGTTTTTTTTTCCATTTAAGATAGATACAAAAGTTTCAGTAAGTTCTCTAAGTGTCGTAGAATATCAGTTATCGGAGTCACACTTAGCTTAATTTTAGTCTCAAAGATAAGATACAACATTAATTCACAGACCCAGAAATGGACACACGTACACATACATATAGTTGTTTTCTTTTAGAGTCATCAGTTAGAGAAAGTGTAATGCAAGTTCACCTACATGTGAAGCATTATCCAGATTTTTTTTTTTTTTTGTTGTAGTTGATTATGATAATGCTTAATTAGTGATTTCAGATGCGTGGTTCCCAAGTTTACCCTCTGCGATGCTTCTTTTTCTGGCTTTTATGTATTCTCTTTTTGACTGTTCTAACGTCTTTCCTTCTTGCCATTTAATCAGCCATTTGTGGAGAGTTCAATACACAATGCAGAGATCCAAATGTACAATATTTTACAGTATTAAGTTCTGTTTAAGGGATGTGTTCTGATTTCCGAATTAGAACCAATGTTTTTCATCGTCGTATGCCTTTACCCCTTTTATCCTAACCATTTATGGATGATAGTGAAATAATAGAACTCACCAATTTAATCATATGGCGATAGTTAACGTATTCAACGATCTGTGGTTGATTTCAAAACCCCCCATTTTGCTGTTGAATATAGGCTACTAACATGCACTCCCACAGTTCAGATGCTTGCTCCTTCTGTAATTCTACTATAACGGATCCTTTTTTCTTCCCCACTTTTCCAAGACCCACCTGCCATCTCTTCTTTGTCTCGTTTTCACCACGTCTAGCCTCTTTCATCTCTTACCATGGCTCTGTTGTGGACTTGCTCGTACTCCAGTGCTGTCTCCTTACCCCGTTATACTAACAGTAAAGGTAATATTAATGATAATAATCAGTCTTATAATCAGTCTGTATGTAATCGTAGCCAGAAGTTGGAAACAAATGTTTTCATCGATGAACAACAACAAAAGAAAAAAAAATCTAACCTAACCATCTTTGGTTTGAAATTGTGAAAATTGTGTTTTTCTTACTTTTTCTTTTTCTCTTTTCTTTCTTTCAAATGTTATTACAAGTGCTACTCCTTTGACCGTCGCTACAGTTAGTATAATACGCTTAGCAGAACTAGATATCTTTCAACTGTAATGATTGCAATTTTCCTTACCTTTTATGGTATTTGTTTCAGACCACTTCACCATTATGATGTAATTGTAGCCATCGGACTAAAGCGCAGCATCGTCGCGCGTTTTCAGATACTCCGATCAATCAGTCGAGATGATTCAAAAGCCGATCGAGTCAACGTTGACCATTGCATCCTTGCACAAAAACAGAGAAATGTTCTCTCTGCTACTAAAAACCAAAGTGCATATTACCTTAATATTTGTCAGTTCTTTAGTTTCTGGAACCCATATTTCTACATTTCAGTGATTTGAGATTCTAGAATTCATATTGTGGGTCCATATGAAGGAAATGTGGTGTTTACATCTTTCTGGTGAAAAGTGGCTGAGTTGTGTATCGTCCGGTTTCATTGCTACAAATTAAGTTTTTTTTGTTTTTTTTTTTTTGGTTATTTTTAATCCTTTTTTCTGAAGTTGAGCCTTGGACGCAGGTTTCGATACAGTTCAATCAAACCACCCTTTACAGACTCCCATGCACTTGTAATGTCCTGAAAATGTAGCTTCATCAGTAGTCATGGATAGGTTAAATGTAAACACATAACTGTAAACAGGCTCACATACACGTACACCTAAGCTATTGTGAGGAGTTTTTTGCCTGTGCATTCCTTGTAGATTCGTGTCTGGAGCTTAGATTTGAACTCTTGCTTTAAAAAACTGTTCCCCCTGTATCCTAGCTCTGTAGCCCTTCACTTCACAGGACCACCTGTGTGGCTTTGATTGGTGTTGTAAGGTCTCGACCCCGTTACGATAACAGCAATGTGTTGTGTACAATGGCCCACTGACGTCCACCGTTCTCTTTGCTGGACAAGTGCCCTCTACATTCGAACCTTACTGCTTTTTTTTGTAAACAGCATGTTTGCCCCATCATGTTTCCACCCAGCCCCATTTGTAGGCAACACATTCTGTCGTCTGTTCTTGGAAAACTGATCCATTCATCAAGGCGAACGCATTGATGCATGCATCAAGGTCTCCAAAAGAACTTGTGTAGTGAAGGGTAAAACTTCATTATTATTATTATTGCTGTTATGGTTATGATCGTTATTAACAGTTTCTCATTTTTAGTATAAAGAAAGCACCAGATTGTTTTGGAAAGAAAACCTTTTTTATTTGTCTTGCTGTTGTGGTCTGATTTCACAATGCATTGAGAAGAAAGCCAAAAGGCTGAGAGAGAGAGAGAAAGGAAGAGAGAGAGAGAGAGAGAGAGAGTCGAAGTTGGCAGTCATGTTTGTATGGTTGGGAAATGACTTACAGTGCTGAAATAAAATTTATTCTTTTAGTAATTTTTCTCTGTGTCTCTGCTCATTTCATTTAAAGGAATTGTGCATGTCATGTATCTCAGGCTTTTGGGCAAGTCATCATGAGTAACGGTGACAAGCCGTTTTTTGTACTCGTGTACTCAATTCAGAGTTATTCATTTGCTCTGCCATTGAGCAATTCTGCAAAACTGAATAACAACTGAAATCTTGATAGTGAAGAAGAGCCAGAATAAAAGACTAAAGCAGTTAATGCTGCATTGTGAAGACTCTAGTTATTTGATTTTAGTGCCTTTTCCCCCAAAAAACTGTTGAGATGATTCTTATTTAGACCCCATGTGTCAAACACAAGGCCTGCAGGCCAAGTCAGGCCTGTGACACAGTCCTGTTCGGCCTGGGAAGTTATTTTAACTTTCTATTCTTAGTAGCCCATTTCACCCTGAGATGCGCTACAGTCCTCAGCATGCACTGCAACATAGTGTGCATTCTGACCCCCATCAATCATCTCTGGGCCAGCGGTTACACAAAAAGAAAAGATGCCTGGTGTCCAGTTCAAGCAAATAGGCAGTTTAAAAAACTACATAGAACTAGTTTTATTGAATTGTTTTTAAATAAGTATTCAATGGCTATTATACTGTTGTAGTTTTGGCATGTTTTGAATAAACAATGGCCCGTCCAGGTCAATGCACAAAGAAAAATTGAAATAAAACACAGCTGGCCCACAGATTTGCTGAGACGGGGGACTGTCCAGTGTCTGTTAAAAGACAGTAAATCTTAGTAGCTTTACTCAGTCAGTCCCTGTTGGATGGTCTTCTACATTATCCTGTATAGTCATATGCAAAAGACCCAGCTAGACCAATAGAAATGGTCCAAAATTACTTGAAAAGTCTTGTTGCTGTGTATTTAAAGTTGAGAATGTTAAAGTGACGATGAGAGAAAAAACAAGTTTTAGTGAACTATATCGATTTATTTGCTGAGTTCAACATTTAATATGAAATGTGCCAGAACATCTGCACAGGCCACATGTTATGTTTTTCTTTCTCAATATGTTACATTAAGCAAATAAATTTTAATGGTGCATTACAATGTATACAAGTGTTCTCTATAGAGCCCATGTGTCAAACACAAGGCCAGCGGGCCAGATCAGGCCCACGACACAATCCTATACGGCCTGCAAAAGTATTTTCACAACGTGCTGCACTACAGTCCCCAGCATGCACTGCAACATAACTTGCACCCTGATTCTCCTACCCCAACAACAATCTATGGGACAGTGTTTACACGTCAATTCTACACAATTCCACACCAGTCACTTCACCAACCACACTAGCTGCATTTCAGCTGCAGTTCAGCCAACATAAACACCAAACGTCAGCTCAGAAACTGAGCCCAAGTCTTAATGAACTCGCAGTGAAGAAATGATGTCAGGTGTCTAGTTCAAGTAAATAGGTAGGTTTAAAAGACCGAGCTCCTGGGGACATTTAGATTTTGAATATTTCATGTATTCATGTAATATTTCAAGGTCTGCTGCGAGTGCCTGTATCTTACTGCTGAGGTTTTTGCGTAGAAGTTCAAGTTGTAGCATAACATTCATTAAAAATAATAAAAATAAAAAAAACAAAACAGATTTGTTGAGATTTTTTTTATATTTTAGTGGTTGAGTTTGACACCCCTGCTACAGAGGATGTGTTAACTTGTTTTCACTTAGAAAATCCACTAAATGTAATTTGACCAGGGGCACCTAAACTTTTGCATACAACTGTATATCTTCACTGTTGGAACAAAACCGCCAAAATAAACCAATTCTATTCTCATCATTAAACTGTGAAACACTAAAGGGCAGCTTTATGTGGCATATTTAAATCATGTAAAATATATGATTAAATATAGAGATAGAAGATTTTCAGACAGTGCACTCAACTGGATTCTATTGCACCGTAACAAAGGTGTTCATTTGCATACCGATTTTAAAATACTGAGGAATCTATGGTAAACAGGTTTGCTGAAAGAGTCATTCAGTTGTTCTCATGGTCATGATCCATTTGAGGTCATCTGGCACCAGTGGCTCAACTGAGAGTCCATTGCAAACCCTCCAGAATCAGTTCCCACAGGCAGCTATGAGCTTCTGCCCAGTAATCAAGTAGGTGCTCCTCATCATCACTGCCTTCGGCCAAAGAGGTACAGGTAGTTTCCGTGCAGCATTTCACAAAGCAGGATTTTCCATTGAGTTAGATCATCTGTGCCAAAAGAGAAGACTGCAGTAAGAGTTTCCTGTAGGGGTTCAGTGTCTGTTGGTGGTTCCCAGCCCTACTCCTGAAAGACCCCCTGCACCTCACAGTTTAGTGTTTTCCTGCTCCAGCATATCCTGTTCAGCTCTTCAGCTTCAGCTTGTTGATTAGTTGGATCATTTCAGTATGTGGGGCAGGACTACATTGGAAATAAGTAGTTTAAAAAATTTAAAAGATCAATTTGGGGAAAATATCTAATAGTGACTTTTCTCAGCAATATAGTGATTGTACGGAGTCCCTAAGGGGCCGTGGTAAAAAAACTAAATAAATAATGACATTGCGTTCCCTCACAAATGTTTGGCGTTCCCTCACAAACGTTTTGCATTACAATGCAACGGTTTGCATTCACTTGCAAAAGCTGTGCTTTGCTTAAGCTCAGAGACGGAGCAGCTCATTGAAATTGATGTTGATCTTGGATTGAAATATAAAGACGTGTCGCTTCTCAGAATCAAACATGATTCTGCTATTAGTGACTCAGACTGAAACTGAGATGAGTGTCCTCGTACAGTAAAAGCGACATTTACAGAGACGGTAGAGAACCGTTGCTGAATAAACTCAGCACAGACTGGCGAAACTGGGGAAACAGTTTTTAACGTTAAACATGCTAAAAACAAAGCTCTCATGTAGGCAATGTCGTCGGGCAGCTCCGGTACTACTTTTGCTTGCTGTCTGACGAGCATATATTTTGCGAGGGGCTCCGTATGATTGTGATTTAAATGTGATTGGTTTCTGTAAATTCACCCCTTTTTCACCAAGAAGACCAGCATAGCCATTTTCTTCAGACTACTGAAAGTAGTGTGTCAGACGAGCTCTGCTTTAGTAGGCTAGATTTCTACTTCTTCACTTAAAACTTAAGACAACATTGAAAAAAAACAGAATATAATTAAAACTGGAGCTTTTCAGATTTGAAAATTGCTCTTTCACATTGCAGTTTTAATAAACAATCAATTGATCAGCCATACTACTATGAATTGGTGCTGAAGTAGGGGTTTAGGTTTATGGTAATTGGGAGTGAAGTAGGGGTTTAGTTTTATGGTAATTGGGAGAGAAGTAGGGGTTTAGTTTTATGGTAATTGAGAGTGAAGTAGGGGTTTAGTTTTATGGTAATTGTGAGAGAAGTAGGGGTTTAGTTTATGGTAATTGAGAGAGAAGTAGGGGTTTAGTTTTATGGTAATTGGGAGAGAAGTAGGGGTTTAGTTTTATGGTAATTGGGAGAGAAGTAGGGGTTTAGGTTTATGGTAATTGAGAGTGAAGTAGGGGTTTAGTTTTATGGTAATTGAGAGTGAAGTAGGGGTTTAGTTTTATGGTAATTGAGAGTGAAGTAGGGGTTTAGTTTTATGGTAATTGTGAGAGAAGTAGGGGTTTAGTTTATGGTAATTGAGAGAGAAGTAGGGGTTTAGTTTTATGGTAATTGAGAGTGAAGTAGGGGTTTAGTTTTATGGTAATTGGGAGTGAAGTAGGGGTTTAGTTTTATGGTAATTGGGAGAGAAGTAGGGGTTTAGTTTTATGGTAATTGGGAGTGAAGTAGGGGTTTAGTTTTATGGTAATTGGGAGAGAAGTAGGGGTTTAGGTTTATGGTAATTGAGAGTGAAGTAGGGGTTTAGTTTTATGGTAATTGAGAGTGAAGTAGGGGTTTAATGGTAATTGGGAGTGAAGTAGGGGTTTAGTTGATGTGAACTGGTAGTGAAGCAGGGTTTAGTTTTATATGTATTGGCACTGAGGTAGGGGTTTAGTTGATGTGAACTGTGAGTGAAGTAGGCATTTAGTTTTATATATAATGGTAGTGAGGTAGGGGTTTAGTTTTATATGTATTGGTAGTGAATTAGGAGTTTAGTTTGTGTAAACTGGTAGTAAGGTGGGCGTTTAGTTTTATATGTATTGGTAGTGAATTACGGGTTTAGTTGATGTAAACTGGTAGAGAGGTAGGGGTTTAGTTTTATATGTATGGGTAGTGAATTAGGGGGTTAGTTTGTGTAAACTGGTAGTAAGGTAGGCGTTTAGTTATATATGTATTGGTAGTGAATTAGGGGTTCGTTGGTGTAAACTGGAAGTGAGGTAGGGGTTTAGTTTTATATGTACGGGTAGTAAATTAGGGGCTTAGTTCATGAAAACTAGTGAGGTAGGGGTTTAGTTTTATATGTATGGGTAGTGAATTAGGGGTTTAGTTCATGTAAACAGGTAGTGAGGTAGGAGTTTAGTTTTATATGTATGGGTAGTAAATTAGGGGCTTAGTTCATGAAAACTGGTAGTGAGGTAGGGGTTTAGTTTTATATGTATGGGTAGTGAATTAAGGGTTTAGTTGATGTAAACTGGTAGTGAGGTAGGGGTTTAGTTTTATATGTATTGGTAGTGAATTAGGGGTTTAGTTGGTGTAAACTGGTAGTAAGGTAGGGGTTTAGTTTTAAATGTATTGGTAGTGAATTAGGGGTTTAGTTGGTGTAAACTGGTAGTGAGGTTGGGGTTTAGTTTTATATGTATTGGTAGTGGATTAGGGGTTTAGTTGGTGTAAATTGGTAGTGAGGTAGGGGTTTAGTTTTATATGTATGGGTATTGAATTGGGTGTTTAGTTCATGTAAACTGGTATTGGTAGTGAATAAGGGGTTTAGTTGGTGTAAACTGCAAGTGAGGTAGGGGTTTAGTTTTATATGTATGGGTAGTGAATTAGGGGTTTAGTTGGTGTAAACTGGAAGTGAGGTAGGGGTTTAGTTTTATATCTATTGGTTGTGAATTAGGGGTTTAGTTGGTGTAAACTGGAAGTGAGGTAGGGGTTAAGTTTTATATGTCTTGGTAGTGAATTAGGGGTTTAGTTGGTGTAAACCGGTAGTGAGGTTGGGGTTTAGTTTATATGTATTGGCAGTGAATTAGGGGTTTAGTTGGTGTAAACTGGTAATGAGGTAGGGTTTTATATGTGTTGGTTTATATATATATTTAGTTGGTGTAAACTGGAAGTGAGGTAGGGGTTTAGTTTTATATGTATTGGTAGTGAATTAGGGGTTTAGTTGGTGTAAACCGGTAGTGAGGTAGGGGTTTAGTTTTATATGTATTGGTAGTGAATTAGGGGTTTAGTTGGTGTAAACCGGTAGTGAGGTAGGAGTTTAGTTTTATATGTATGGTTAGTGAGTTAGGGGTTTAGTTCATGTAAACTGGTAGTGAGGTAGGGGTTCGTTTTATATATTGCTAGTGAAGTAGAGGTTTGTTTATATAGGTAGTGAGGTAGGGGTTTGGTTTTATATATATTGGTAGTGAATTGGGGGTTTTGTTTATATAGGTGGTGGGGTAGGGGTTTGGTTTTATATGTATTGGTTTAGGTGATGTAAACTGGTAGTGAGGTAGGGGTTTAGTTTTATATGTATGGGTAGTGAATTAGAGGTTAGTTGGTGTAAACTGGTAGTGAGGTAGGCGTTTAGTTTTATATATATTGCTAGTGAGGTAGGAGTTTAGTTGATGTGAGCTGGGAGTGAAGTAGGGTGTGAATTGGGACCGCACCGAAGACAGTCAGTCTCGTCTACTTGCCCGAGTCTCGCGATGCCTTGGCTTGTCCTGCTGCTGCTGTAAGATGGCGAAGGCGTGCACGCTCGCTCTCTCTCTCAGGTGAGCAAAGCCACACGGTTCCTTCCTTCAGGTTCCAGCCGAGAGCTTCGACAAGCTACGCGACTCATCCTTTCTCGTGTCATGATTTCAGCGAAACAGGAGCTGGAAGACCACAGGGAGAGGTCTTTTTTTGAAACGCGCACTACCAAACCGAGGGTGAACGAAACGGGAACCGCCATTTTTCGTATTTAGTATTAGCATAAGTCATTTAGCGCTAACGCTGTCCAGCCAGCCAGAAATACATTATCCTCCATAGAACCGTGTTATGCTGCGTAGACTCTAATGGCAGACTTACTTTCATTAAAGTGTCTGTAGTTAGTGACAGTGATTTCGCTGTTTCAGGCGAGGGCAGGCTTGGGTAGCTGGAAAAAGGCATGTCGATAGCTATAATTTGTGAACCGTAACGTTAACGGTGCTTATTACAGGCTAGCCAGGTAGTAACGTTAACTAAGAGTTGTGGGAAATTCATGTTTGCTTCATATTTGGTTTGTACAGCTACATTTGTAAGCGGTCAGACTGTATATCTTAGGCTAATGTCAAGGTTGCTAGCTGGCTAACGTTCCCTCACATTTGTATGCTTGAATTTGAACTTGAACTTGCTAACCTAGCCGAGCCGTACAGCTGATAATCGTCATATTTTTTCCAGTAAGATTTGACCTGGTATGCGTAACGTTAAGGCTTGAAATATGACTATGTGAACGTTACATGGAAGTGTCCTCATGTTCCCTGCCCACTGGGTGGATGTGGCTAGGATGAGTCAGTTAAACCCGACAGACAAGCCCTTTCTCAGACTCAGACACGCTGCACGTTTGGACGAACGGATACAGACGTGTCATGTTTAAAAATAAAAATGCGAGCGCACTAATGAGGTTCCCGCCATATGCTGTCAGAATAGCTCGGTCTCAGTTCTGACTCACAGTCTTCATCGACTCCTGCACTATAATATGGAAATATGCATTGAATTGATTTACTGGATGAGAGTCAGGACAGGAACCTTTGCAGCTGGCCGCTGTCTGCAGCTGAGCTGGACCCAGGGGGCCTGAAATTGAGTTGAGCACTCATGATTTCTCTTTCCAGAAAACTGAAGTGAAACTCTTGTCCAAAATGCAGGGGATTCCCTTGGGGGATAGTGGTAAGCAATCTGAGCAATGAAAGAAACGATGCTTTAGTTGTGATCTTAGACTTGGGTTGTATTACACAGTTCCAAAATGAGGATGAATATCTAGCACCATCGTCTTTTGACAGCATATGGTTGTGAATGCTGCGGCTTGGAGGTTGAGAAGTATAGTTGTGTGGCAAAGCCTCTCAGAAGTGTCATATGTGGTTACAGATTAGCTGTGCTTACTTACAAATAATATAAAGGGATGGTGGACATTGTTCAGGTAACAATACTGCCTTAATTGCAGTGGAATCCGTAGCCCTATGTTGGGAAAGAGAGTGTGATTCAGATAAAAAAACTAGACCGTATCGCATAACCGAAGAGGTATGACAAGGCCTTCTTTCATTCCTTGATAAGTGCAGCCAATCGGAGTGGCTTTCCGCAGAGAAAACCTACTGAATTGAGACATCATTGTGAAACTTGATAGCTTAGACTTGAGACAAGGACAGGCTTTTGAAAAGCTGCCTTACAGACTGGAGAAGTTGCAGTGATGAATGTGAGTCACAGACTCAAGTACAGATTCCAATCATTCTGACTCCTGACCTCTTAATGTGTGTTTGAAAGTGAAAATGTTCCTTCATGTACTTCTGAAGCTTCTACATCAAGGTGAATTGGCATGGAAAGTTGGCCTGTGTCAAAGTACATACTTCAGTTGTCCGCTCTGTCGGCACTAAAGCCCCAGATTCTGTATGTAGCTAGAAAAGAATTTTAATGGCTCCTCTTGGCTTTAGCTAAACCTATCTGTGCGATTGCCAGTCAGAAGTTGTATTTGGTCTTTTTTCATTTTCTTTAAAAAATAGGAAAAAAAAACACACTCAACCTAATGCTCTGTCATGCCAATAACCTCTTAGCTCAGTGAGATAATTGTTGGTCTTTCCGTTAATTGAAAAGATAAATGCCGTTTTGACAGACATCACATTTGACCGTTCTAGGATTTGCTTTATGTATATGTACAGTGAATATAGACAGTGTTTTAGCACTGTCATGCTAAATTCTGCTGCGTTTGTTCATTGTACTTGTACCTAGGGTCTGGCAGCATAGTGGACCATCACTGTGGTTGTCTGTATACTGTCAGTAGTTGGATAACTATGTCATATTGTTGTTTAGACATTGATATACGGTTTTAATGTAGCCTTCAAACTGTATTTTATTTGTGCATAGTCCAAAAATGACAGGTTGTGTTTCTCTTTCTTTGTGCAGGCTCCAGAAAAAGAGGCTCTTAAGTCTGTCTGAAGATTGCTTCACAATAACCGAGCAATGGTAAGAGAATATTTATCTCCTGAAATAGCCGTTCCTGATGTTTACTATTATAAATGACAGGCATGCCGGTTATAAGTCTGTTTGGCAGAGTCTGAAACCGATTTGCGTGAAACTGTAGACCTGCTCTGATTTATGGCCAAGTATTCAGTTTAGGGAATGTTTAGGCACGTTATTTGCTGGAGGAGAAATGAAACTGAAATATCACCTTACATGTACTAATATCTTCAGTTTAGAGCTGAATTGTTAACAAATGGAATCCTATTTAGTAAAAAGCCCAGCAAATGTTTGCTATCGGATGATGCAGCAGTGAACTGTCATGGTTCTAATAAAGCACATTTGTCCACGCAGGAACGTTTGGAAAGTAAAACTAAAATTTCTATGGTGTGTGTATAACCGTTCTTGGTCAGACCTCATTTCAGGACCTTTTTCTTAATATCCTTTTCTAATTAGTTTAATAAAACATGTACACTGCCCTGAAGTCACTGTGCATAATGTTTCTGTTTTTCTTCTCTCCCAGGGCTGAGAGCTGTGGTCCGCAGTGCCGGTAGTTGTGGGCTGAGGTAGTAGTTTGTATAGTTTGGGATCACACCAGATCTGGGAGATAACTATACAGTCTACTGTCTTTCTCACGGCTACCACGTTGCATCGTGCTCCCTTCATGGAAACACTGGATTCGGAAGCTATAAGCAAATTGTTGATCATGAAATGCGAGGGTGGCTTTGTTGTGCTGAGGTAGTAAGTTGTGTTGTTGTGGGGACTTGGAATGATTTGTCCCTTGCTGGAGATAACTATACATCTTACTGCCTTCCACACTGGAGTCTCTTTACCCGTCTTGCATTGTAAATGTTGTTTTATTTATTTTTAAAACATTGTTCGGTTCACATTTTTGGTCAAAATGGGCTGCACTAGTCCTGCTACAGCAGTGTTGCCAATTTATTATTATTTATTTTTTTTATTTATGCTTTGCCCTTTTCCATTTGTAAAATGAATCTTAATAAACTGAACACAGTTAAAAGAATGATGCTCTGCTTTTGTCTTTTATTTATTTATTTTTGGTTATTTTTTTCCAGTTTGCTACCCAAGAAAGAATAATTACTGGTTAATGGTATGATTGTGAAGGTGGAGAAAAATGATGTTTTTAAACAAGCATTGTTTATTTATTCTGGTTGAATGATAAATAATTACTTATTGTAGAAGCGTTTGGGTCAGGGATTGATAAGCGATTATAGCCACGTGCGGTATGAAAAAGTAGTCTGAAAAAGTCGCTGAAGACTCGGTGAAACTTGAAGGCCAAGTGCCAAGATGTTTCCTGACGTGACCTTAGGGACGCCGAACTGTAATTTGATTGGCTTGCGCACGCATCAATAAAACAGTTTTTAGCCAATAGAATAAGGGGCGTTGCTGCGTCCGTGTTTGTGATTGGTCGGAATCGTGTCCGTGGGGTTTTGTGCAGCTCTAGCTGTGACGCAGGTTTGAGGGCCCCCGCAGCGCAGCGTGCGAACATGGCGAACATCAGAAGCGTCAAGGTGAGCAGGGGTTTGAATGAGAACAGCGAGTATCTGAGTCCTGATGCGCTCAGTGCGGTGTTTTAATAAAGGGCTCAGCTTCTAATGCACGGTGTCCTTTCCGCTCCGACACGTTGCTGTAATCTAATGGACAGAAGGTTTAGCTTTGTTGCCAGCAGTACTGGCTGTGGGACTTCAGTGGAAGTCGGACACGGTGCTGCACAGTTAAGTGTCCGAGACTGGCGGATTCATTGGCGACACTGAGCGACTCGGACTGTCTTCTGAGTCCTGCTGCGCCTTTTTGGCAGCGTTAAAAACACCTGAAATGTGGCTAAATGCTAATGTAGCCAGCGCGCTAACGCTACATGGTCCAACCTGTCTTTTGACTAATCTGCGCTCTGATGTATTGGCTAGTTTGAGTGTCTTACATATTACATACAGTGTCTTTATGTCTTTTCCTTGCAGTAAATACCCCTCATTCGAGTCATTTCTCACGCTGGACAGCACAAGCTGCAAGGGCCATTCCACCGATTCTTCAAAATTCTGATTAAATCAGCAAAGTCATTCTGGGTATTTTGGTAGCTTTGAAATAAAGCGCTATAGTACGGAGCCCCGCTGGTGACATCCTGTATAAATAAAAATAATGCGTGGCCACGACTTAGTAAGGCGTGGGAATGAGATCATGGCTTACTAAGTCGTGGCTACGCATTAGGATCTCGTTTCCACGCTATACAAAGTCGTGGTCATGCATTATTTATTTAATGTCAACAGCAGGGCTCCCTAATGATGTAGTATTGATAACGGTAAAGTAGTTCGCTCCAAAGGGGCCGTAATTAAAACTAAAAAGGTGCTGACGTTGCGTTTCCCCCTCAGTGATTTTGCAAAAAGTTTGTGTGTGTTAGTGTGTGTTGTGCTGGTCTGAGCGGATCAGACACAGCAGTGCTGCTGGAGCTTTTAAACACTGTGTCCACTCACTGTCCACTCTATTAGACACTCCTACCTTGTCAGCCCACCCTCATCTGCTGCTGCACAGTTTGTGTTGGTCATCGTCTAGTCCTTCATCAGTGGTCACAGGACGCTGTTGGCTGGATATTTTTGGTTGGTGGACTATTCTCAGTCCAGTAGTGACACTGAGGTGTTTAAAAACTCCAGCAGCACTGCTGTGTCTGATCCACTCATACCAGCACAACACACACTAACACACCACCACCACGTCAGTGTTACTGCAGTGCTGAGAATGATCCACCACCCAAATAGTACCTGTTCTGTGAGGGTCCATGGGGTTCCTGACCACTGAAGAACAGGGTAAAAGGGGGCTAACAAAGTATGCAGAGAAACAGATGGACTACAGTCTGTAACTGTAGAACTACAAAGTGCACCTATATAGTAAGTGGAGCTGATAGAATGGACAATGAATGTAGAAACAAGGAGGTGTTTGTATCTCTGTGTGTGTGTGTTCTCCTTTAACACTTAAACTGTTTATCCTCCTCATAGGGTATGGTGGGTTTGGTCACAGGAGGTGCCTCAGGTTTGGGCAGAGCCACAGTGGAGAGGCTACTCAGCCAAGGCGCCAGCGCTGTGATCCTAGACCTGCCCAACTCAGATGGACACAAGGTGGCCACTGCCCTGGGGGACCACTGCGCGTTTGCTCCAGCTGATGTAAGTTCTGTACGGAAGTAAAGGCTACTTAATGATCTCTCAGAGATTTGGTCTGTGCTTTAAGCCTTTCTGTTTAGACAAATCACACATGTTAATGAGTTTCTTGTACTTTTACTTCACAAGTAATTCAGTAATTATAGCATCTGTTTCTAAACAAATTAGTCGTCCTCTTTTGAGCTGCTATCCAAATGTTCCACTGCAATACAGTGCAGTCTGATAGTACAGTAGCATGTCAGAAATGTAAGTCAAGGCCTGCATTCATAAAGCTTCACAGGGTAGAAGTGCTGAACCTGTCAGTAAAGTCGTAGTAAATGGTACCCTAAAAAGCTTTGTGAATACTTGTCCAGGAGTTGCTGCTTGGTTCTAATGGGTCTGTCTCCATCTAGGTAACATCAGAGTCAGATGTGCGGGCAGCAGTGGATTTGGCCAGGGAGAAGTTTGGCCGATTGGACTTGGCAGTAAACTGTGCTGGCATTGCTGTAGCTGCAAAGACGTACAACTTCAAAAAGGACGTCCCTCACAGTCTGGAGGACTTCAGTCGGGTTGTCACTGTGAGTCCTGCTCTCGGTGCCAACGGTTCCTGCTGTTGGGTCACTGTTGTAGTGGCACCACATTAAAGAGGAATTCCAGCGATTTTTCAAAATTGCATCAAAATTCAAGAGAGAGATGCAAACAGTCATTCAGAGTGGTTTGATGTGAAATGGTGCATTGTAGAGAAACTTGCTGACTCAGATTTTGGTACAGTGATGGTGATAGGGAAAGGTCGTCTACAATGCAAATATGGTCATTTTATTTACTATTCGAAACCACTAGTGAACCAATACATGTCTTTTGAGCTTTATATGTAATGCTGATAGTGGTAAAATAGAGGCAAATCTGAAAAAATACCTTTTTCTTTGGGGACTATTGCTTTAGAATATTATGCATATATTTAAAAAATGTTTCAGGCCAAACGTTTAGTGCAAAAGTATTGTAAAACAATGTCTTGGACATTTAAGCAGCCTATTTGTAACCATTTCATGTAACAGATTTTTGTGAGGAAGTTTTTAGGGACATTAAATGCTTCAAATTGGTTTCTCTCACCACTGTTGTGAACACTTCTGATTCTGTAATGTCCCCTGAAATGGACCATATTGCATCAAACCACTCTGAATGATTTTGTTTACATACTAATGATTGAATTATACAGAAATGTTGAAAAATCAGTTGCTTTCCTCTTTTAATAACCACGTTTTGACTGAAATTGACTACAAATTGCTTCAGTATTCTTTTATTTAGTCTGTTTTCATTAAAGAATAAAAATGTATATCTTCAGTTGTAAAGAGAGCGTTTTTTAGTTTGTAAGCTATAAGCCAGAAGTGAAATTAACTGATAACAGAAGCCAAAACTCTGAAACTACATGTATGTTTTATAAATTCTTTTAAAGAGTGGTCATTCTTATTAGTTAATGTTACATTTCTTTAGTATAGACTATTTAATTGTGCTTTTCTTGTCTATTTAAGGTGAATGTTGCTGGTACCTTTAATGTGATAAGGCTGGCTGTAGGGGAGATGGGCAAAAATGAACCAGATGCTGACGGACACCGAGGCTGCATCATCAACACGGCCAGTGTAGCAGCTTTTGATGGGCAGGTAACTGAGATACAAAATCCTGCTGTTCTGCACTTCACTGGTTGATTTGCCTTGCAGTTTTGGCTCTGCAGCTTCGTTCTGTATTTATGCAACTGTTCCCTCTGTCTGTCAGGTGGGCCAGGCCGCATACTCTGCTTCTAAAGGCGCCATTGTGGGGATGACCCTTCCAATCGCTCGAGACCTTGCCCCTATGGGCATCCGTGTTGTCACCGTTGCTCCAGGTTGGTACTTGTGTGGGGCATTACTGACAGACCATCTGCTATGCATTTTGTCAGTTGTGTTTTCTGAAGCTTTTGTTTGCCTCCACCCGAGTCCCTTCTGTCTGTTGATTTCATTATGTGCTTCTTTATGCCTTGAAAGTTGAAGCCTGTGGAGCTTTCTTAGAGTGGAAGCAGTTATGTCCACTTGTATTTTTAGAGAGTGGATAGTGTAATGTGAGGGATGTGGCAGATTGCTGAGATGCAAACACTCATTCATAGTGGTTTGATGTGAAATGGTGCATTGTAGAGAAACTTACTGACTCAGATCTTGGTACAATGCTGGTGATAGGGATAGGTTGAAATGTCTACAATGCAAATATGGCCATTTTATTTACTATCCGTAACCACCAGTGAACCTACGTGTGTCTTTTGAGTTTTTATATGTAATGCTGATAGTGGTAAAATAGAGACAAATCTGAAAAAATACATTTTCTTTTGGGGACTATTTTGCCTTAGAACACCATGCATATACTTAAAAAATATGTTTTAGGCCAAACATTTAGTGCAAAAGTTTTGTAAAACA